CATTTTAGAAGTATATCAGCTTGATGTAAATATTAATACGTTATTGGAGAATTTCAGATTGTTTTACCAGAGGTTACAGCTTAATAGATCATAAACTTGCCATGACCTTCAGTGGCAATTTTTTCTGACTACAGAGGTATTATAATTTTTGGATGTAGGAAATGTTGGTTTATTGCCTGTGTAGTAAGGATTTTTTACTTGTTCAGCATTTTGTGGCAAAGAGCTAATTAAATGCTGGCATGATTGTGGGGTGGGTCTTCTAAATCAGTGGAATTAAAATAAAATGTATTTATTAGAATTTATGTACAGTATATATAGCTTATATATGTTTCATTTTTCCTTTCGGAACATGTCATTGCAGTTATTTGTCTGGCTATAAAATCTGAAAATGGTGAGGGTTTTTTGTTTTCTTTGGGAGTTTCTCTGGGGACTTTTTTTGAAATACCTTTGAGTACTTTAAAAGCTGTTACTAAGGTGATTACAGAAGGTTCTCCTTTAGAAACCAGAGTATAGTGTCAGTGTTTTGCTCAATGATTAACTACGTAATGAAGAAACAACATCCTGTACAGCTTGTCTAATAGGGCATGCGTTTTCACTGGTTAGCGCTTAATACCTGGTCATCTTAAGAAGACTGATAATATATACCTTTTGACATAGTAAATTACTATGTTTCTTTAAACTCTAAAAGGCTTTGGTTCTGGTAATTAGATGCGTTTATCTGTAAGTATTCATTGGAAGACCTGCTTCATTACTTCATACACTCATTGACTTCTTAACCTGATCGACAAACATTAACTACTTTGTGTCTCATTTTGCTCCAGTTAATTTTTTTAAGTTTTGACTTAATTATTAAGTTTTACTTTATTCCTGCTGACTTCCTCACAATTTAAAGTAGTTGGTGTTATGTAGTGTATTTGCCTGTACTTGCATATGCATGTATATGAAAATTGTACATGTTATGCCAAGTTTTCAAGAAGTAGATGTTTCAGTTAAGTTTCTTTTGCCTTTAAGAAGGGTGGGTTTAAAGTGTCAGCATGTCACATGGCTGACTTATTTTTATCTCACCTCTCCTTGTTTCATTGCAAACAAATGCCTAAAGTTCCAAAAAAGATTAACAGATTAACAATGTTCTGATGTAACTGCAAACAGAATTACTCGGCCAGTAATTTCTCTTATTTCAGAGAGCCCACGGTGTCTTCGGATTTTACTTACAGCCTCGTACATCTGGAATCGTGTTGCTGGTACTGACTCATTCTCTTCCTTTGTTGTACATTTTGTTGGCTTGGTGATATATAATTGACGACTGAGTTGTGTAACGGTACTGACCTTTAATAGTAAATGTGGTAACACACACATGATCGCCATATTATTGAATTATGTTACCAAACAATTTAACTTCCTTGTTGCTCCTATATGTGGATTAATTTCCACTTTATTAACTATTTCATCCCTGTTTGACCACGTGCCACCTAAAATGAAGGGGGAAAATGTTTTTTTTTTTTCCATCACCACATGAGAACGTCTTGCTTGGGATTAAAGCCAAATGAATTGTGTTTACTTGGTTCTTGCACGTGAACTCTGCCTTGCAAGCTTTTAAATCTCAGGGAATATCACCAGTGCTGCATGGTGAATAAAGTGACAGTGCTCTCCTTCAGTCCAGCCCGTGGCACCGTGCCAGTCCCGATGTGCTTGAAAAACAAAAAGACCACATCATTTTTCTCGAGGAGACCATGCAGGCCTGTGATGGCCTAGCCTTGCAGTATGCCACGTTCCCAGAAAATCTGGAAGAGCCCACCTCTCTTACAGCACTCCATTGTGATCTCGAGTGTCAGATACAGGAGGCTGGTTTTTCATTGCACATACCGATTTTTAATGAATCTTTTTCAGTCTTTAACTTAACCTTTTAATGAAATAGCTGTGTATGATAACGCTCCATTATCATCATCATTCCATTTTTGGAAGATCTATACATGTAAACAAGTAATGTAACGCTGAATAATTTTTACTGCAAATCTATTTTGGTTTACTTTTCTGAAATTGTCTGAGCTCTACAAGAAATTAATTTTCAGCGTTTTTTATTTGCATTTCTAAAAGCTGAAAATATTGTAATATTAAGCCCTAAATATTTTATTTTGGAAATAATATTTTACCTGTCTACGCTGATAGATCTCTTACAATCCTACTGTTAAATGCTTAGGCCATTATATTTGCTGAGGTTGAGTGTTGAATTTCTAACCATGAATTCTGTTGTTTGAACGAGTCACCTCATGTACCCTATGAATAACTATCCTCATATGAACTGTCACAAGAATATTACATTTGCGTTTGACCCCACGTTCAGAAGCATGTGCCTGGTAGCTACAGTAGCTATGTAATGATTTTGATTGCAAAACTCATGTGGTTGTGTGAAAATAAATTTTCATGAATAAATCATAATCTATTCGCAATCTCAAACTTTTCTGAGGCATCTATTTCCATCTGCTCTTGATGTTTGTAGTCACCGCTTGTGTGGAGAGAACTAGGTTTGTAATGCCAGTCTGCAAGAAACAATTTGGTCTTTAGCTGATGTTCGGAAGAAGTTTCAAAGAGGTTATTTAAGAAAAAATAATTATTTTACCGTTTGGAAAATTGAAGCTTAGCTCAGTGTTTATCGTCTGTTTTTTTCCATATTTCATTTAAGCCCTTTGCTGACTATTAGGCCAGAGTATACTGATATTTTCTTTTCTAGAGTGAAAGTATTCTGAACACACAACAAAGTCCAGCCACAACCTGGAGTTTTGCATAATGTAATTCCTGTTCTGTTGGGTGTAGAGTGATGCCATAAAAATACTTCTCCTAGATTTATTGCAAATGTTTGTCCCTCTTTTTAAATGTTTTATGATTTTTTTAAATGTCTTGGATGATTTTGTAGGAAAACATTTACTATAAGATCTGATCTGGAATGATGCACGTAGTGATGAATAAATACATTTCTTTTTTTTTTTACTTCGATAAATGCAGTTGTAGCATATGTGCCAAGTAGGCGTGACCCACATGGCAAATTCAGATTTTCCACATGACTGGATATTCTGCCATCAGACAGTTGTGATAAAATAATCAGAACACATTTCAAAGAAATAAAAGTACGAATAATTTAAATATTCCAACCCATGCTAGTGGTGTTACCAGAGGTATTTTCAAAATTTTAACTGTAGACAAGAGGTGTTCACTTGCTTTGTCTTCCTGTTATAAAGTACTTATTAAGTACACATTATGGATCTAGTTTTAAAAGGCAAAGTTGAGTTGATATACATTTAAAATTAAATTTAGTTTATTTTAAATTGCTGGTGCCTTTGTTTGATACAGTGTACAGTATGTATGATACAGTGCATTTCTCTTTTGCAAATGGCCTAGTTTAAATAGGTTTCTTTTGTTTTCTTATCATGAAATATTTAAAAAGATGCGCATCACTCCTGGTGATGGTGTCTTCAGCTGTGTCATGTAGATATTTGGGGAATTTATGGTTATATTAGATTGATGGATTATTTCTAAGTTAGCCCTATCACTTATCTGTAACATGTTTTTTTGCGAGTTACGGTAATGACTGAAACCTGCTTTGAGTTTCAGATGCATTTGAGCCCAGTTTCATATTTTTAACAAATGAAGATGCAATCATTAAAACCGTTAGAAAGCTGCAATTCTAAGTAAAATTCAAAGTAATTTGTAATTCAGCGAGCTAAAGGCAAGTTGCTGAACGTCTGAAGGAGTATAGTCACTGTTGTAAATGCTCACATTATTATTAATACTCTAATAGCTACATTTTGTGTGTTGTTCACAGTGTAATGCTGTTTAGGGAAATAGATTTGTGTGTTTAAATGAAAGTGATATTATAAGGATTAAATTAATTGGGATTCAGTGTCTGGCTGATTCATATCTGATGTGGTGTGACAAAGAGCATTATAATAATAGTACATTTATGTGGCATGAAATTAAACTTCGATCACATGGTCTCAGATTCATTTTTGCAGCTGTAGCAGTGAACCAGCTACTGTACGTGGTTTACAAATGTCTATTTGAATGTCATAGTTGGAATGCTCTCTTTTTAATTATTTGTTTTGTTGTGTGGTAGATAAGTAGTTATTTACAAGGTAAGAAAAAATAGCTGGGTTGTTTTTTTATGCTTTTTTATTATTCAGTAGCTTGTAAATTTCTACAAATGTGCCATTTAAGAATGACTTTAAATTCCTAGTATTCATGTAGTTAATTTAATAAGGTTTTAACAGTTTGTATGAAAAGGCTTGTTCATGTAATGAACTGCATTTGACTACAATAGGTGTGCTTGGTGTAACAGAAGTTCCATAAAAGCATATGAATAGAGTTAATAACCTGTTTTTTTTATAGCTGCCACTGGAAATAATATTAGCATACATACAGGAAAAAAAAAGTAAAAGACGCCACTGGAATATTTCAGCAAGTATAGTGGGTGTGTAGGGGTTTATGTGTAACATGACAGACATAATTTAGAAAACACTGTGAATTTTTGTAAAAGAAAAAGTGTTTCTTTGGAATTAAAACTGCCAAAAGGTGACTTGCTGAAGTGGTATGCCAATAAAAGAGCCCGGTCTTGAGAAACAGTTTCTATTTTAAAACTATTTGTAACTAATTGGACCACAGTGGAGACGATTCTTGCTCACAATGCTACAGTGGTGATATCACTGCCATTAGGAATTTATCCTATTTGACTGCAATTCAAAAAATGTGCATGGAGCCACAGCTTCAAACAATGAAGATTTGTGTTAAAAAAAGCTCAAAATGTTTCCCATGGTCCAGGATCACGTATTTTATATTGGCGCTATTGAAGAAAAGCCATCAGCTGGAGTACATATCTAATACTTACCAAACAGACGTAAACTGAAGGGCGTCTGCTGTTTGGCTGTGTCCAGTGTTGGAACATCACTGGTAACAGTACACAGTACACTAGGGCGTGTCGGTGACGAACCGTCTTCCTCCACTCTTGCCAGGGCTCGGATGATTGCTTGGTGAAGATCTGGGCGACAGACGATGGGCGTCTGCTGGCCACCCTGCGAGGACACGCGGCGGAGATCTCGGACATGGCTGTGAACTACGAGAACACCATGATCGCGGCGGGCAGCTGCGACAAAACCATCCGAGTGTGGTGCCTGCAGACCTGCGCCCCCCTCGCGGTTCTGGAAGGCCACGGCGCGCTCATCACTTCACTGCAGGTGAAGGGTCATTTCGTGCCAGCCTGCGTCTGGTGCGAGAATGCATGCTGCTGTCAGGTTCACTGCGATTTCTCTTAGAGCGACTGAAATCCCATTGTGCGCCTACATCCTGGACAAGAGAATGTAATGTGGTACCTTTTTATACAAATCCGTATAACTAGGTCAGCTCCTACAAAATACAGATGTCTTTTTGTTATTGGGCTCCTGATCAATCCTATAAAAACATATTTGTTTAATTTTTCATTAGTAACATTAATTTATTAATGGAATAGTGCATATATTTGTGTAGTTTGTGTACATTGCTGTTATTTATATAATTATGCTATATATGTAATTTTGTTCTGTGTGATTCACAGCTTATTTTTTAAATGATATATCAGGTGTTTCTTTAATGCCAATTCAGTATCATACTTAAAATTACAGCGGAGTCAAATACAGGTACATCGTTTTCATGTGTTTTAGATGCATTTTGTATTGTGTAATTTGTTGTAAGCTGTTTTGTTAATTCCGTTCTCCCACATTTTACAGTAAGCAGCACAGTAACACTGAAAATGTACAAATTTAAGGATTACACGTATACCCTTTTACTAAGCCGGTGGGGCAGCTGTGATTGTCGGTTTCCTTGACTGTGGTCTGTGATTGTTTCAGTTCTCTCCGCTGTGCAGTGGCTCCAAGAGGTACCTCTCCTCCACGGGGGCAGACGGCTCTATTTGTTTCTGGCAGTGGGACGCCAGGACTTTGAAATTCAGGTCAGTGCCTCATGTTTATGAGAAACGAATGAGTCCTTAGCAGGAGGGCAGGCCTAGAGGGGTCTCAGAGATGTGTTCTTCTCTTTAACATTAGTTTTTGAAAAGGATCCAGTTGTATCGTTTTCTGTTTTGTCTGAAAGTTAGCAGGTCTTGGTGTATTTTTAAATCTTCGGTACTTTCATCTTTGCAAGACTAACCAACACCTACGATGGGATTCTTCCCTACAGTCCTGGTAGATCACAGCTCCTGAGGCATCTTTAAATCTTCGACAGGGTAACACACGGTGAGAATGGTTAGATTGGTCTGATTTAGGCTTAAGTGGAACTTCTCAGCAGGTGTTCACCTGTCGATGATTTAAACTCCACTTAATGTGGCCTTCCAATATCCTTTCATTCTGGACTTCTTACATGTGAATTCTTACATGTGCTTTGCAATTTAGCCTCCCTCGTAATTTTGTTTTCTAAAATCCTTTTAAAAAAATAACACTATCCGTTTTTAGCAACGACGCCCCAGTGTAGCTTTGCTGCCCCGTGTTTTTACTGTTCCTTCTCATCAAGCCTGAAATGCTCTCTTCACGGTTTAAGAGTCAGCTGGCTTTCACAAATGGGGGAGGGGGGGAGGAGCTTTTTCTGGGGATAAATAGAAACCGAGTTTATCATCTTATTCTCACTAGCCCATTAAAGGGCAATTCTACACATTTTTCTTGTGGTCTTTGTCAAAAGGTCTGACACCCAAGGGGTTGTTTGAACCTTCTATAGCTTCTTATTTTTAGAAAATGTTTTCCTCTTTTCTGCTTTTTTGATGGTTGCCGTTTGTAACTGCTGACATGCAGCATTTATTTATCATGGTTCATTGGTTATATTGCTCTGCCGTTAGTTCTGTAATTAATTGCTTCCTTTCTTTGTTAAAAGGAAGTTGGCGAGCCTTAAAGGTGGCATGAGTCAATTAAGTAACCTTTCTTGATTCGCAAATTCTACAGTCATGCTATGTGTAAGACTCAAAAAAAGGCAACGCTAAGTAACTCTATTAGATGCCAAGGATTGTTTTCTTTCTAACAACCAGAATGTTTCATCTTTGGTATCTGTTGCTCATACAGTATGTACTGAGCAGTTCACATTTTCTGTTTTTTTAGCCTTTTTTTGTTACATAGTCATAGGCACTTCTGCACAGGCAAGGTTGAAGTATGTTTGCAGTTTGTGTGTGTGGATGTACAGCTACAGATAAATGTTGCTGAATCAACGTCACAGTTGCCGACACAAATACCGGCACTCCATGTCTGAGCTTGTGGAATGCACCTAGAATTTTTATCACTACTCAGTAATGTGAATCATTATTTGGTAAATGCAGAAAATATGAAGTTACTGAGTCGAAATCGTGAAATTATTTAAGAATTAAATTTACCCCATATAATTTTTATATAATTTATTTGTGTGTGATTGATAAGGGAAAATGTTGGATACTGATATTTTTGCTTTTTTAACCATTTATAGACCTGTGTTTGTACACTTGCCTGCTTTCAATTAAGACAGCTTAGACAAAAAGATTTTTGAGCGCTTTCTTTAGTTTCTTGCTTTTTTGTAAAGAAACAAACCAGGGCCCTTATGTAGATGAGGCTTTGTACTGCGATTGGCTCAGTATTTGTCCAGCTAAAACAATAAAACAACCATTGTTTTGAATTGGCTGCATTCTAGCCATTGGGCCAGCTTGGCTTTGTTGGACAAACACTGTGCTTTATTAAAAAAATACATCCTCCAGATTTTAGCAGGCATTTGCAAAAGCAAGCTTGCAGTAGTCATATGACTGTTCCTTTGTGTTCCCAGCCAGCGACCCAGTAAGTTCACTGAGCGTCCCCGACCAGGAGTGCAAATGATCTGCTCTTCCTTCAGCGCTGGTAATGCTCCTTTAGTTTTGTACTAGGCTTCAGTGTAGGTCACTGCTTACTGTCTTTGCATTATTCAATTTGTGCTTGAAAGCTAAAAGGTCTCGGACTGTTTTTGTACTAGAGTGAAAGGAAAGTATTGACGAGTGGACCTTTCAAGCATTCAAAAATTGAAGTAACTCCTAAATGATTATGGCACATGCATAGCTTTAGTTAAGAAAAATATGCACAATGAACCAGAGGTTGAAAATACCAAAGTACTGACCTTATTATGAATACAAAATGCTCCTCACCTCAACATTAATGACCTTTTATTTGACTTTGTCTATTGTGCACTCTTTCTTTGTTTATTACTCCTTCAGGTGAGAAATGGGAATTAGCAGTTGCATTTGAAGTATTGTGAATGTATGTTTTATTTTGATCTCGCGTGTACTACAGAGAGACTAAACGGAATGAATGTCAGCATGCTTAACTTCCTTTTGAAGGAAAAATAGAAATGAAAATAGTTTGCGAATGGTCTGTTAATTTGGGATAATTATTTTGGTATGTGATTACTTTAGCAGAGTAAATAATTGATAAACTGCATACTGTAGTGCGAGCCCTGTGAGGTCTAAACACGCATGCTGAAAAGACTGTTGTGTGTGATATTTGGCACCATGTCTGAATGTGTTCTTATATTTTCGTGGTGCAGGTGGAATGTTCTTGGCAACAGGAAGCACAGATCACATCATTAGAGTATATTTTTTTGGATCTGGTCAGCCCGAGAAAATATCAGAGTTGGAGTCTCACACGGTAAGTACTTTCCAAGTCTTTATTACAGTACACTTTTGATATGTGTGAATGTACATATGTCTGAAAGGCTCAATCTGATTTCTTTTTTTCTTTTTTTAGGATAAAGTTGACAGCATACAGTTCTCTAACACTGGTGACAGGTAAATTATTTATATATATATAAAGCCTTGCTTTCAAGAGTTGGTTTAATTCACAAGTTATCAGTTCAATTCACTGTTTTGATTCAGTCAGCAAAAATTACCTTTGTGGGACTGAGACTCAATTTTGCACCTGCTCAGCAAATGCAAGAAAAAACACAATTACAGGTAAATCTGGAGTTTGAGCAATTCTCCATCCCCCTTAAATCACTCACACAATTGCCTGTTTAGAAATGGGAATTTCATTGGCTTTCCAGATGAATTTAATCTTAATAATGTCAACTGAAAATCAACTATTTTGGGAATATCATTTTCTTTGATGTAGTATTGCAGTAACTGAAGTCTTTGGCGGCAATGTAAGATCCCAGGGGATTTTTGAAAATGGAAAGAGAAACTATAATCCAAAACTGGCTCTAATGGGATACATGAAATGCTGAAAAACTAAAGGAGATGGCCCAAGCAAAGCAGAATAGTAAAATTAACACTGATGCTGCCTGTTCTGCCTTTTCAGTCAGAAACATTTTTGAACTGTTTGCATTTCTTGGTCACATTTTCTGTGCCATATAAGAACAGGTACAGAATATAAAGTACATTAGGATTTGTTTTTTGTTGAAAAACCTCTATGGCTATTGTTCATGAGAGAACCTCTTCAAAAATCCATTTTTGACACTGCTTTTTGTTCAGAATGCCCTGGACTGGATGTCCTTCCTTATTTCTGTGATCCACCCCCTGAATTAGAACTTCTCTGTTAGCAAAGGAAATTCATTTTGAGGATCTGAATTAATCTGATTTTACAGTTTGATGGTTAATTAACATTTTAAATGTCATCCTACTAAACTGTCCTGATTTCTCGATTAAGCCCTGTAAATTATTAAGTACACCGTTGATTCCATATTTTCAGTAGTCTTACATCAGAATAAAGAAATGCCCTTTTACATTTGTAGGTTTTTCTGTAGAACTATTGAGCAGAGCAGGAGTTTCTGTTCAGTTAAAAACTGAAGAGGGAAAATAAACTAACTTTGGAGCCCTACAGTGAGGATGATGCAGCAGAGTTTTAAAAACAAATAAACCAAGAACTATGTGACCTTGTGAGACTTTGCAATTTCTCACATTGCCTTAGGTTTTTGATGGAGAGTCCTACTTGCAGAGCCTTGTAGAAGTATCCACGCCCTACCTTTGTTGTTTCCATTTTTGTGAAATTTTCTTCAAAATCCAATTGAAGATTTCTATGGGTAAAATTAATTTCTGAATATGTCAACTCAATTTAAAGAGAAAAGAATGCCGGCTACAGCTATTTCACCAAATATTCATTATAGCCATACGGCTCTGCCAACCTTACTGTTGGCTTGTCCAATTATGGAGAGCAGTTTTCATGACTTTTCAAGTTAGGGCTGTGACTGGGCCACTCAAGGACACTCAGTTTTTTTATTCTTTAATAGGTACATTTTTTATTATTCAGTGTAGCATTGACCTTGTACCTTGGATCATTGTTCTACTAAGAGGTGGATTCTTGTCCCAGTTTTAAATTTGAGGTAGTTTTTTTTACAAAGATTAGCCAAGATTTTGCTCCATCTATGTTCCTGTCAGTCTGGATTGATACTACTAATAATAGTGGCAGTGGTAATACAGTAACCTACTCTGGAATTCATAAATGTTACTCCCATTTTAATTATACACTTTTACTTACAAAGAGAAAGGCAAATAGCAAACTGTAACGTTTTTGTAAATTTAGAGTATCTTATAAAGCATCCTGGTATGTCCTAAATACCGGTATTGAAAAATATCATGTTGTAAAGTAAAAGCAGGTGCTGCTAAATGCAGGGTTATGCTTGAGCAAATTGAATGAGTTGAACTGAGCTGAGGATTGTTTTGCCCTGCTGTCCTTTTTCATTTCATAATAAGCCAGAATTCTCTGATTGTTATTACATTCTTTCCTTCTGGTGAAATAGAATGGAAAGAAGGCTTTGAATTGCTTACATTCCTGCTTGTTTATTTTTCCAAGTTCTCTTCATGTTCTTCTTGCCCATCAGCCACAGATTCCACCTTTTACTCATGTCCTACTGTTGCATTATGACTGTGTTGTACAGCTTAAAATTAGATTGATAAATGAGATTGAGAAATTAATGTCTGCCCATTTTATTGCTACAGGGATTTCATTAAACATTTCATATAAATGAATTCCTCTTATTAAATAAATGAAGGGTCAAGTCTTGTTTGTGCTCAGCCTTGAGGTCTAATGATTCGAGAACGTCCTTGATAAATTTGCCTTCCCTGTTAGCTGTTATTTATCATGATAGATCCTCGGTATGTTTGCCACTTAATTCCATATACCCATTAGAGACTTCATTGCTGAATCTCTGGCAAAACAGTAAGTTTTCATTTTCGTTTAGAAGACTTTTATCTTGAATTTTTCCTCATTTGGAAAACTGTGTTATATATCACTATTTTCCTCATACTGCCTTCACTACACAGATAAGCTTTTCATTGCCCATTTTCCAACTTATTTTTATTTCTGTAGTAATTTTACTTATGTATGCAGTATTATGTTATGTTTTACATGATAGCCAGGGAGGGACATGATATTCCAGATGTGATGGCACTTAAGGATTAGTCCATTTTAGCAATAAGGCCTAGATTAACTGAAAACCTCAGCCTATCTGCCAAATATAAATTGCAAACCCAGTACTTCCTGGCGGGATTCCATTGGATTTAAGGAAGAAGTCTTTGCCAGACAAAAATCAGCAATTATGGCCTCCTGAGTGGCTTAGCTGTTAAAGGCCATCGTTTCGAGTATGTGAAGATTTTTGATCCGACTGGTTTTCTGTTTTATCAGCCGACTATGACCAGGATTCCCCAAGTCGTGATTCACAATTCGAATGTGGCCCAAAGTCAGTCATGGCAAAAGTTGTTTTTGTGATTTGTTTATGGGTTGAAGTTAAGATTTAATAATCCATTAATTTTAATTTTGTGTTTTACAATATGTTGTATACTAGTATTCTAATGGCTAAAGGAACAGGTAGAGGCTGTGGAGCCTGGACACCTGAAGAAGGCTTCACTGCCGAAATGTTGTTTCACTTTGCTTTTCCTTTCAGTGTGGAGTAAACCTTTAGCTGTTCCTTTGTAGCCTACTGTAGTTCCCGACAGTACCTACTTGAACTTCTTATATTAGTTACAATTAAGGGTAAAGGTGGTTAAAAGTCCATCATTGTGAAAACGTAGTTCAGTTTTAGCTCAACCTTTTGAAAATATTTTTCCCAGAATCTCTGCTTTCATTCGTTCTTTCATTAATGTTCCTGTTGTGTTAGGGTGCACTCTGTGTTGTTGACTTATATAGAAATATTGCATTTTTTGCAAGCAATACATTTCAGATTTTGCAGAAGGAAAATAAAATACTTCAAAAAGAAATCCATGTCATTTAACTACTGGAACTCACAGTCATGTATTATGGAATATTTTCTAAAGGACTGCTCTCCTCCTGTTGCCTTGACTTTGCGCTGACTGACCCAGTACTTTAATGACTTTATTTCCAGGGCTCTCAGTGTTTAACCGCTGTTATTTCATCATCAGCCAAGTCGAAGAGCATAGCAGAAATTTGACTTGGCATACATGATGCTGTCATTCTTTCCTTCTGACGTGTGGAACTCCTCAGAGCATCAGGGGCGAGGTTTTTTCTGTTGCTGCTCCCTTTCCTCACTTTGCTCAGATCTGCCGAAGTGTAATTGTTCAGCCGGGGCAGCTGTGACGTTGTGTCCATCCGTCTCCACAGGTTTGTGAGCGGGAGCCGGGACGGGACGGCGCGGATATGGCAGCTCCACCAGCAGGAGTGGAAAAGCATCCTGTTGGACATGGCCACCAAGTTGTCTGGGTGAGTACCCAGCACTGCCACCAGAGCTCTGAAGGGCTTTTTGTTGCCATCTTTCATCTAGCCTAAGCTGCTTCAACTTTCACTCTAAATTATAGAGCGAGATAAGAATGTAGGAGTTGGCATTGGAGAAGTGTAAGACCTCGTTATTTGTATGTTTTTGTGGCCACCGTGTTGTCTGGGTGCGTATCCTGCGACGTACAAAAACCTTAAACCGACAAAGCCACCACTACTTTTAAGTGTTTTTTTTTTGTTGTTGCTCGTCTGCACTAAGCTGCTTCATTAACCAACTTTCATTATAAATTATGCAGCGCTGCCCGCTTGTAATGTGGGGGTTGGCGTTTGTGAAGCGGAAGGCCACATTATTTGTGTGTTGTGTTACAATGAGTGCTGGCATTTTTGTTTCCGAAATGATTTCCAGAGCCCGCAAGCCGCACTAACAGATTTATATGTAACAGATACCAAGCCAGCACCACTCTTTCTTGTTCATTTTATTTTTTTTAATGTTCTAAAGTATAAATAATATATAATCCAAGGATGGTTCATGATGATGACATTTGAAAACAAATAGGAAATACGTTTTTACTCTTGGAAAGAAAATGTAAAGCAAATATATGGGCAGCATAAGTGCTGCATGTTCTATAGTATCGCAATTCAGTGTTTTAGGTTTTAATTCATTTTTCTTGAGTTTCTTTTCAACATCTAATCTGCTCTGTTTAGTTTAAAACTGATTTTGACATTGCCTATTTCTTGCTTTGTCTGACTGGAGGTTGAAGTGCATATGTTGTGATTTTATTAATCCTAATAATTAAGGTTCTTCTAAGCAATTTTGATTCACATAATGTAGTCACAGTGGTATAAATGTATCTATGGAAAAAGAGAAGGGCGTGACATGACTGAGGGCTCACATTATCTGAAAATATGAAAGCACCTCAGCAGTGATCTGAGTTTTAAAGGATCAAGAACACATTTTAAATCGGTAACTACTCTTGTTGTGGCTTGTTAACAGGTCAAAAATAAGCAAATTTAAGTTAAAAAGCTACCTATTTTAGTTAATAGGCCATTTTTTTTGCAAATGTATCCACTGTTTTTCTTTACAAGACATATACACCATACTTTATCAAATATACAAACCATTCTGAAGCTGTTTGACCTGAAGTTCTATTTCCCCATGTAGAAAAAAAACATTTTAAAACTTCACAGCCACCTCAAGTGTGCTTTAAAAATCAGGCTTATTATCAAAGTGCTTTTCAAGTTTCCCTACCTATGTTCACAGTGTTGTACCAAACCCAGATTCCTTGTTAATGGTCCTGCAGATATCAAGAAAATAAAAGTATTATAATTACTGGTACGAAATACAGCACTTGATTCCCCTTGAACAGCCATTCTTGAAGTCGTACCGTGAAATGTCTTATCTTTGGGCCAGTCACACAATGTTCTCTCTGGTGTTGTGTGTATCTTTTGAAAATGCTGCTAGGGTCTCAATTTTTCTCACTCTGTCCTCCAGACCAGTTTTCACTTTCTGCTCAGTTATGCTTCGTACTGTTTTTCTGGAGTGTTTGAGTCAACTTTCATTCACTGAGAAATTGGGGAGCAGTGGTCTGACCGTGTTTGAACTGATACCACACTGTAACTGGTCACATGATAAAGGGGCATCGCATTGCATCTAAAATTATTTTCTTTTTTACATGGGATTTAATGTAATTTAGATTCACCACATGAATTTCAGTGAAATCTAAACTGAATGAATATATAATCTGTAATAGTAATAAGAAAGAACATTTTCTGTATTACTTGATTTTTTTTAAAAAGTGTTCTCCTGATCTCTGAAATACCTTAGTTGTATGAATCTTTTAGTGTGTGGTGTATAGTTAATTTAGTGAAAAAATGATAGCTAAAGGAACATTCCCCTCCCTTTTAGTTGAGCGCTATAGTTTGTCTTTGTGAGAAAGAAGAAACAGATGCCCCCTTTACTACTGTTTCCACAGTTTTGAAGGGTTGAGGTCTATAATTCAGAACTGTGTGCACACCTTATTTCAGTTCAGGGCTTTTAAGGATATAATGCAACAAGTGGATGATGCTTTTTCAGCAGTGAAGTAAAGAGTAACAGTGCATTCTGAGAGAAAAGCAAAAATAAACTTTGACATGTAATTGGTCATCTTGCAAGGCTGCAATTTGACTTTGCGCCTGTAATGATCTGCAAGAGAGAGTTTACCACCTGGTCCCTGATAGCTTTTATATATGTCTATATGTTGTCCTCTTTTCCGTAAGAGGCGACTCCCTTTATCCCCCACTGAAGTGCAGCTCTCCTCCTGGGAAATGTGCAGGAGCCATTGTGCTCCCGCGGCCCCACTACACAGTGAATCGGGTGGAGAGCTGAGAAATGACTGCGCCCTGATGAAATAAGGAGGATTTTAATTGTACCCAGGTTGTGTAACCCCAAAGTCCACTTAAGTCATGTTTCATTTGGTTTGAACATCCCTAGGCTTCGGGAGCACCAACTTTAAGATCTTGTTCTAAAGTATCGCCTGAAAGTTGTCACCTGCAATAGCGTAATTTCCTTTGTAAATGTATTTTGGCACTGAATTGGAGGATTTGTCCTGACAGGAGAGTGCCTCCTGCTGGCTCGTTAACACCACTTTCAGCAGTGATCCTTGTTATCCTTGGAGTCTCCTTCCCAGGTACCGACCTAACATAGGCTTGATTAGCTACTGATGTGATCAGGTTACGGGGTGGAAAATTAACTCTCTCTTGAGAGTGTTTCCCCCCCACACACACACACCATTTCTTCAAGGAGGTGATGTACAGTCTGTACACACACGTCGTGTACCTGAATCATCTTGAAATTCTTAGATAAATTGTATAGCTGATTTAATAATAAAGGCAAGATGCAAGTTCAATTATGTGACCAAGTTGAGAAGCTTCGTTTAATTTGGATGAATTTGCCTGACTGAGAACATATGAATAATTCAATTTTCCTGGAAATGTATTTGCCTGGGATTTTTTTTTTTACTGAGCTTAACAAAAGGCAAGGTGTAAGGAGTAGTTTGTATTAGCCTGTACAAGGATAAGAAATAAAGAAACTCAGATGGTTTGGATGGATAAAGGAACTCATTGCAGGGAGACAAAAAGTAAAAGATAAATTCTATTTTTTTTTTAACTTGCAGTTGGAACTATTTTTTTTAAAATTGTTTTCTTGATTTTCTGTGTGTTAGAAACAATAGGTAATGTTCAAAAGCATATGCTGGACATCATTGAGAGGTCTTAATTTCTGTAAAAGGTACGTGAATATTGTCAGAATAGATCATACAAACAGATAAGCATCTAAATATTTTTTAGGCCTTAGCAAAAAAGCATGGCTACATGTCTTATCTGTGTGTATCACATTATCTAGTTTTGTGATGTCCCTTATAGTTATCAAATTATAATTGTCACTTATCATGTTTAGGATAGAAGATATAAGTAAACATGCACAAGTCATTTTTGATGGCTTCTGATTGAATGAAGATATACACTTAAACAGAAAAAATATATTTAATATTTATTATAAAATGCTATGTTTGGTGAATCTGCAATTTCCATTTTATTGCATGTTCATGTGGTGTACAAATTGGATTCAGCTGTGGAACTGCTGAATTACAGACACATCTAGCGCTTTGTTTCATGTCGGGAACTCTTTTGTGAAACAACTCTCCCCAGTGTGGCTGTAATGTTTCTCCACTGCACACCCTGCGTGTGGCACATGATGGCACACATCATCTACTGTTTGTGGCGAGGAACTACAGAATAAATATTCTTTGACAAATAGTGTGCATATTCTGAGAAACATGTCAAATATACCCATTGTATACATTTGTATTTTTACTGTTTTATTTTCTGTGGCACTGCTTTGGATTACACATTTTAATTGATTTTGGTTCCAAGTTACATCAAGCACTTAGTCTATTTAAGGCCTGAAGGTTCCAGCTCTTCTTGAACCCAAGACTGTACCCAGATTGTAACAGATATACTTGGCAGGCAAGGGCTGAATTGTCCTTTGTTCCTCTCTACAGTATCATACATCACTTTTTTCTGTCTTTTGCACTGACTGGAGCAGAGTAATAACACACAAGTTGTTTGCCCTGACCCTTAGTCCACTTACAGCTGAGCCATTACTGTGCTGTGATGGAGGTACATGGGATAGTTCCCAGAGAAATAACTAGCAGAGCCCTAATGGCTTAGGTACACCAGTGGAAAAGTGGTATACTGTAAGTCAGTTTAACATAGACTGCTAAAGATGTGCCCCTGATAAAGCACATGTGACAGTGAATTACTTGATGGTCTTTAAAAAAAATAAGTTAATAGATCTGGTTGGATAAGCCGGTGTGTTTTCACTATTCATACACTGTACCTTGGTAACGTGACTTCACATTCTCTTTATACTTTCTTTTTGATGGTACCTTATCTGATACAGAACGGCCATGCTTTCTTTCTTGGTAGACCTCGTCTTTCCTCCTCTTTTAACAGTTTACTGTGAGTGCACCGTGAGCAGGTGAACTATTGTAAAACAAAATACTTCTCAACTTTTTTCTAGGAACAATCCACCGCCCGTAGAAGACAAAGTCAATAAACTGAAAGTCACAATGGTGGCCTGGGATCGACATGACAACACGGTTATAACAGCTGTGAATAACCTTACGTTGAAGGTTTGGAACTCCTATACTGGACAGCTCATACATGTCCTAATGGTAAGTAATGATGCAGTTTACCTTTGCTCTGTTATATAAAAAAAGTGAAATGTTTGTAGGACGAGGTGGTTGGCATTGCTGCCTGGGAACGAAAAGGGCCCTGGGTTAAGTCTTGGATATGCGGTGCTATCTGTGTGGAGTTTGCATGTTCTCCCTATGTTTGCATGGGTTTCCTCTGGTTGCTCTGGTCTCTCCTGCAGTCCATACTGGTAGGTTGATTGGCTTCTGGGAAAATTGGCCCTGTTGTGAGTTTGTGTCTGTGTGTGCCCCACAATGGACTGGCATGCCGTCTACTCCCCAATCTTGTGTCCATTACTTGCTGGGATAGGCTCTGGCTCCCCCATCACCCTAAATTAGAACAGTGGCTAGGAAAGGGATGGATAGATGGGAATGTCTGTGTTTGTTGTTTTTTCATATGTTAAGGAGAGGTTAAAGTGTAACTGGTGAAACATGAAGTTCTAACACTTTTCTTCTACATCATATCTGGGATAAAATCCATTTAAGCTCATTTGCCAGAATTGAATATGACTTGAGACCAAGACATTCTCTTTTTTTTTAACACATCCCTTATTCTACCAACACAACTGGTTACAAAATTTCTGCTCCTAGGCAAAACACTAACTCAATATTATTTATATAAATTGTGCATTCAAAATATTCTGCACCATAACTAGTATAATACCCTTACAATGTCTAATTTCTGTTAAGATAAACGTGGGAACACTCTTCAGTGTTTATTCAATGGACTGTATGTTGTTTTACAGGGACATGAAGATGAAGTTTTTGTACTCGAACCTCATCCGTTTGATCCCAGAGTGCTCTTTTCCGCAGGACATGATGGGAATGCCATAGTATGGGACCTTGTAAGAGGAGTCAAAATTCGCTCCTACTTCAATATGGTAACTGGAAAACTTTTTCACTGCTTTTCAGTTTCTTGTATAAGTTTTCGGGATTATATCCTGACAAATAAAACCCCTTTTTTGATTATTTCAGGCTGAGACCTACAGTACAGTATGCTCTTTTTCTTCTGTTTCTATCTGTCATAAATCTCTGTGGTAACTGTTTTCTTGAGTCATTCTTTAGTGCAGTTGTAACTCAAACTTACTGTATATTCGACTATTTTGAATTTTAGAAGTATTTCGGAACTGATAGTTGGCAAAATCATTCTCTTAGAATGATCATTTGTATGCTTGTAACAGTGATGATAATTAAATTGTTGATAACATGGTTCCACATGATAACAAGGCTTCAACAATTTTAAGGAAATATATTTCAAACTGTTTTGTTTTAAATCCCAACATTCAAAACTTCTTGCTTCTTTCTTTAATTACGTGTGTTATAAGAGTAAATATTGAAAGTTTAACTTCTTTCTGAAGCCGATTCTGTGGAAGATGTATTCTGTATAGCCTGCCTTGTCTGAGGAAACCCTGTGCTTGTTGCTGCTTGTCAGATCGAGGGCCAGGGTCACGGCGCAGTGTTCGACTGTAAGTGCTCTCCAGATGGACAACATTTTGCCTGCACCGACTCTCATGGGCACCTCCTCATTTTTGGCTTTGGCTCCAGCAGCAAGTATGACAAGGTAGCAAATCTTTTTGTCTACTCCTGTTCTGAATGACTCATTCAAGTGCCGGAACCTGTGCCTCCTGTGGGGTCAGACTTTGCTAACTAACAGGTATCTTATGGGTGTCCAAGAAATTATGCTGCCGATAGATGTGAATTCCTTAGTAAAACCAAGTTTATGCCTGAAGGTTATGGAAATTTTCAGATAAGATAAACAGAAAAGGCTAGTTCAGAGTTGTGAAATTTCCAGAACACAAGGCTCTAACAGAATGCATGCTTGTATACAAAACGCTTTTCTCTCACACCTCCGCAGAGAGTTTGTGAGTTGCTGGGTTTTTTTGAAATCTTCCTCACCTCTGCTTCGCTGAGACAGAATGGTTTAAACTGAATGCCAAAGAACATGAAGTGAGAATTGTTCATAGTGGTGCTCTCAGCGATGGAAGGAAGTTCCAGCACATTTGTCTTATAAACAGAAAGCTGTAGATGGGAAGATGGTCAAAGACGACTGAAAGAGGTTCTGGTCAGAACTTCAGGACAGATGTAGAATTGTAGAAGATGTGTCAGAAGTTCAAAGATGTGGAATCGCATTGGGAGTGGCATGTGAATACAGTATCTTGATTTTTTTATTTCTGTGGAAATAAATTAAAAGTTAGTCCACAGTCAGTTGTTTGAATTCGACAGTGATAATAATGTTGGCTTCTTGGGTAAGTTTGACTGTTAGTACTTTTTTTTCTTTCCGTTGACTATTAAAGAATAGGTGCATATGCTCATTTTCTCACTTGTTTGCACCCAGATGATTTCATGTAGTAAAAATACAATAAATATTTTGTTTCCCATGTAACATTTCTGCTGTTAATTTTCATCTAAAAAACAGTTGGGGGGGGGGAAAGGTTTTGTTAGAGAAAAGCCTTGATACAGTAATATGTCTCTGGAATGGTTATACAGAAAGCAAAATATTAATATTTGAGTATTAAGATTTTATTTCACTTCTCCTTTCTATGATTGTTCCTTACTCTCATATGCATTTGCGAAGTGTGTGGTGCTGGAAGCTGATTGGGATGATGGTGAAGCAGAAAGCAAAGAGAACATAATTACAGCTTTCTCCTGCCATGTTATTCTTGGAGGTTTCTGAGCAAAGCACCCTGGTCTTACAGGGAGGAAAACCACAGATGTGGGTTAATTACTGTCATGCTCCACTGTACTCTGAAACTGCTAACTGCTAAAATTAATAATTTGACCTGTCACCAGTGGTCTAGGAATGTAAGGTGTCACCAACATATAGGAGTACCGAAACTAGAATGAGTGTGAAAGAGACAAACATAAAAAAGAAAATCAGTCCTATTGGATAAAGAGAAAATGTGCTACTGTACATTTCGTGATGCATATTCGTTTTTGTAATAGTACAGTGTACCCCACTTCGGTGTGCAAACGTACAGAGCCTAAGGTTAAAATGCAATATTGGAACTTTTTTAAAATATGCAGATAGGAAAACCTTTCTGAATTTGTTTCATTGTTAACCGAGCATGTTTATGAATTATTCCATGTGTTTTTTATCTCCGGGTCACAGCAATGACATCCACCCTGTCATTCACTCAAGACAGTTTTTTCTCTCGGCTTTCTGAGTTCGGCGTGTTGAGGGGGTTTTGCACTCTTGGCCGTAAGTTTGCTCCCTTTCCGTGTTCCAGATCGCAGATCAAATGTTCTTCCACACGGACTACCGGCCCCTGATCCGTGACGCTAACAACTACGTCCTGGATGAGCAGACCCAGCAGGCCCCGCATTTAATGCCTCCCCCGTTCCTGGTGGACGTGGATGGCAACCCACACCCTGCGAGATTCCAGAGGCTGGTCCCCGGGCGGGAGAACTGCCGAGACGAGCAGCTCATTCCGCAGATGGGCATGACCTCCTCAGGTGGGAGACTGCACTCGTCTCGGTTCTGGGCACAGGCCGTGGTGCGAGGAAAGAGGGAGGGGGGCCTTAATACAGCAATGCCGCTCTTGTTCAGGAAATTGTTATAAAGAAAGCAAAATCGCTGGTGGAAATAATAATCACTCATACGTTTTCTCTTAGTAGTGTTTTTTGGCGTGTTATTTTAAAACAACCTTTTTTCATCCTAATAGTTATATGTAAACCTGCTGTTGTTAGTTACCTGTATATACAATTGTATATACAATAGGCTTTGAGGGTCTGAACTGCTCTTTTGGAAGAGCTATCAGTTTAGGTTGAGCTTGTTTCATACAATTCATTATTTCTTTTTGAGCTTTGAATTAAAGTTTTCTGCAGCTTTTATCTCTTGATGATATGCATTTTATGGTTTACAAAGGAACAAGTAATAGGTTTATTCCATGCTGAAAAGAGAAGAGCGAAAACACAACGTTTCGGCTGTGAAGCCTTCTTCAGGTGTGTGTTGACACACCTGACACACCCGAAGAAGGCTGCACAGCCGAAACGTCTTTCGGAATAAACCTTTTACTTCTTCCTTTGCAAACTACACATGCTGACACAGCTACCCACCTGAACTATTTTGTGGTTTAGTCATCATTGCAAATAAGTTCAAGAATGAGAACAAGAATTTGTTTTCAGCTAACCTGTCTGATTAAATTAACTTCAGGGGATTCAGGAAGAATTTAGGTGCTAGTATTTAACATGATGTATAGTTTTTTTCAGAATAATTAGCTTTGTAAGTTTTCAGTTGACACAAATGACTTTCAGGGAATGTTTAAAGGGTTGGTTTCTCCATGTTCTGCTTTCAGGTCTTTTTTTCGTCCTCACCCTAAGACTTTCATACTTACTCTATTTAATCTAATTTGAACCAGAGCTGTCCTGCTGCTAGGGTAAACACAGTTTCACAGTTCTGAAATCTGTCTCAAGAAGACAATTATTTGCCTTGCAGGTTTAAATCAAGTTCTCAGTCAGCAGGTTAATGACGGATCTAGTCCCCTGGACACTATGATTCAACGGCTGCAGCAGGAGCAGGATCAAAGGCTGTCTGGGGACGCAGGAAGCAGCAGCTTGAACAGAGGAAACAGAGGTGCAGAATCTGTTTGTTTCTTTAATCTACCTACTGTGTTACATGGTAGTTCCAGAGGATTAGAAAGTACAGTGATGATGTGTAGGAAACCAGAAGAAAATGGAGCAGTTTGAGGTGGTGCTTAATCATATATGTAAATAACGAAAAAGCCAACAATAATCTTAACCTCCGAGACGATCTTTGGGGCGCTCTAGCGATAAGCTTGTGAGCTTATTTTCTTTAAATAGCAGGGATATTCCTTGGAGACTGTTATCCCCTTTTTCCTGGAGGTGGTTTCTTTCTTGAGAACCACCAGCAGAGACTATTTACACGGAGTAAATCATCCCAGTGCTGGGTTTTGAAGGGAACCAAGTCAGTCATTGTTCCAATTTAAAAAAAATAGACTATAAAGTTGCAGATGCTGTTTATTTTTTTCTTTAAGAATTATTTAAAGTGTTCTAAAAAGAAATGAGTAAACCCAGCCTAAACCTGGCGTTAACAGTCTAAAACAATTGCTGAAGAGTTAGCCTATCAAACAATAAATGCAGGCATTGTCTTTGTTTCCAAGCATCCCTCATACTAGCGCTGAGGATTCTGCGCTTTTGTGTCCCATCAGGCTCTGTGGGCTCTACCTCAGAGGTACACTCCCCTCCCAACGTGGGGCTGCGGCGCAGTGGGCAGATTGAAGGGGTACGGCAGATGCACAGCAACGCGCCCAGGAGTGAGATCGCCACCGAAAGGGACCTCGTGGCCTGGAGCCGCCGAGTGCTGGTGCCGGAGTTACCTCCCGCAATAGCCAGGTACCGTAGCGCCCGGCAGGGGATCTATTCAGAAAGACCGTTCCGGAAAATGCCTGCCACTGAATATTGCTTAAGACTTTTCTGTGTGTGTACGTCATAGTGGAGCAAATCAAGTCATGGACCACTGGATTTGGACCGTTGCAGCTGTATTCTGGAGGGACATAAATGATTGTTTGTGTATCTATGTAGTGCGAGTAAAAATATGTGAAAGGCGTGGATCGCCCATAAGATCGCTTAAGAGATGGATGAAATAACAGAAGTAATAAAACTGTGGTGGCTAGTATGAAGCTAGTGGAAAATTGCAATTATTTCATGTAATGTTAGTTTCTACTCCTTCACGAATGTTGGAGTTCAGAAGTTTTTGCAGCATCACGCTTGTGGCCAGAAGAATCCATTGCACAATTTTAAAAAAAGCTGCTATTGCAATTCCTCAGCAAACTTGGCGTGGGTTTTAGCCTGTTGGAGCAACTTTATACCATCTATTTATACAATATTCATTTTTCCAGTAAATGTCAATATTCTATTACTTGATTATTTAGCCAAGAGACATAACATTTCTAAAATCTGATTTTCAACCAGCCCATTTCTGTTTAGAATTTGTTCAGAAGCTAAACAAAGTGAACCTTAATTATATTTATGTGAAATAATTTAGTTCTGTGGGTATATTGTTATTCAACATTGCGATTTTAATTGAATTCATTTCTTGCATTTGCATTATAATAGTTTTCATCCCAAAGGACCCCAAAGCACTTTACATATACTGTAAAAGGGGACACAGCAGCCACTGTTTGCCAATAGCCCCACTGTCCAACAGTGCAGGAGGAGAAGTGAGAAACTACTTCACCAGTTGAATCGAGGAGGAAACTTTAAGGAGGCTTTGTTATACTATAATGACTTAGTAGTAAAGGCCTCGAACATCTTGTCCAGAGGACATGACCTGGTACAGCTCAGGGTCCCTGGTCGCTCTGCTGTAGCACAGGTCTTGAAAATTCAGGTCCAGTGTGAGAAGTGGTGCCTGTTAGTCTGCCAGCACAGCTTGTAGCAGGAGGCTGAGTCTCCAGTACTGACCGGTCACGCCCTACAGATGAAACTGCAAGGTGGTAACACTGCTCACTGCTCTTGCCTCCATTTCAAAGCCACGTTTTTGCCTTGTATTTTTTTATGGTTATTTTGATTGTGACCGGGGGCTATCTTCAACGTTATGTGTGATTTCTTCTTCTCTTATATATTTTTTTTGCCCTCAAAATGTAACGGTGCAAAATAAAAAAAGTGAGAGTTGAAGCTGTTTTTAATATTTTTATTTACAGTAAGCAGGAAAAATGGAGGACTGCCAAAGGGGAAGAGGAGATCCGCATTTACAAATCGGAGAAGAAGAAGAGAGCACTGCCAAGTCAGATTCAGAGGGAGGCCAAGGTAAATCCTTCTCATACCGTGTCTCTTTCCTCCCTAATGATGCACCATGGGGCTTTGGCTTTGGCTGCATCATAGGCCTTTCTCTTCTGGGCTTCCTTTGACCAAATTCACATTGTGAATCCAGGCACCAGCAGCCTTTAACCAATTTGCAGTTTCTGTATTCTGTGTTGAGCTTAAATACGGTACCTGTCAGAAATGCAGAGGGAATGATGACCTAGTTCTTCAAGTAGAATTCAGCTACAGCAACATTTCCTTGTTAAGACCAGCAGCCCAGCTTTGTTTTTAATAAAGCAGAAATGAATTTCTCAGCATGACGTCCGTCAGAATGAAAATTGTCCTGATGTTTTCTGGTTCTTAACGTGGGAAAACATTTCCCTCTTTAGGAATCAAAATTTCATTTAGGCGGACAGGGAGAACTGGTTATCTTTTTAACATTGATCTGTTAGATTTTCGAAAAAATATGGCTAAAAATGACGAGCAAGCCACAGTGTAGTGTGCTTAGCTAGTTGTAAGGGCCAAGCAGAGGACACCCCGATTACCTCAACACCCTGCCAGGGGTACCCCAATCACGGTCGGCTGATTACTAAGCACAGACCGAACTGTCTGATGATATCAAGGCGGACGAGTTTAACAAGCACTTTGGAAGATTTACCTGCCTGAGTCACTCTGAAGTCCCCTCACGTTATTTGCCTAGCAGGTATAATGTGCATTAAATTATTAATTTAAGAATTAAACACTTGCGGTTGTGTAAACACTCTGTTGATTGTACAGTATTCTAGATTAGCACTAAATAAGAGTTATTATTGTAAGAGATATAAGAGCACTTGTGCAATACAGCGTGTATTTTGCTGCCTATACATGGCTGAAACATGATGGGACACTGAGCAGTGCTGTATTCTGTAGATGGTTCATTGTGTAACGGAGGAGTGAGTGGAGAATGAGTTGGCTCAGGAAGTGGCAGAAGAGAGAGGGGAGTTAAGGAAAGATGAGATCACTTTATTGGCCATATACATTTTCTTATATAAGGAATTTGTCTTTTCGCATACCCCAACTTGCTCTCCATGAGACACACAGATACACAGACAGGGAGAGAAGCTTGGGGTCAGAGCGCAGGGTCAGCCATTTATACGGTGCCCCCTGGAGCAGTTGGGGTTATGTGCCTTGCTCAGGGGCCCAGCGGAGTAGGAGTCCTCTGCTGGCTGTAGGATACAAACCAGCAACCTTCCAGCCAGAGGTGCAGATCCTTAGTCACAGAGCCAACGCCCCGCCCCTGACAGCGAGGAGAGAGGGGGTATAGGGGGAACTAGGAGACATTGAGATCGGCAGAAATTGATTGGTGGATTTTTTTTTTTTTACCCGGCCGCTCTAGTTTGTGCATGTGATGGTCTCTTGAGTTGAGTAACCCATGGTTATCCTCGCTGCTGAAAGAGGTCATGTTGCAGTTTCAGTAAGCTGCTCCTCCTCCTTTCTAGCACCATGTCCAGGAGCCGGCCGGCGAGGGAGGGGAAGGAAGGAGACCGCAGCCGAACCAGCACAACTACCATACCAGAGCAACCGTGGAAGAGACTGGAAGGCAGGCGGACACGGCCGAGGAGGAGAACAGCTCTTCAGAGGTACCGGACTTGGTGCCTTTGGTTCTTCCATCCGTTTTTAACTGTTTTATGAAATTCAGGGCCGTGGGGGGGAGACAGGGCCTATTCTGGGAAGAAGCAGGGTAAAGACACCGGCCCATTGCAGAGGAAACACAGACACGTACACACTCACACCAGGACTAACGTTCACAGAAGCCAGTTAACCTACCAGTGTATCATGGGCCTGTGGGAGGAAACCAGAGCACCAGGGGGAAATTCACGCAAGCACAGGGAAGACGTATAGACTCCACACAGATAGCACCCTGGATCTGGAATTGACCTCTTTGTGATGCTAATCACTGTGCCACCATGCCACCCTCAGTTACAATCTATATAAGCAGTTTATTAATAGGAGCTTTTGTTCAGCTTATTGTGTCCTACCTAATTGAAGTTTCATTTGGTACGTCTTTAAGACAAAAAATCCTGATTTTTCTGTCAGGGTAAAATTCCAGAGCATGGCTTTTTTTCTGGCTGCAGTGACAAAACCAAGTTGAATATTAACAGGCAAGAACAGGATTGGCAGATTGGCTGGATCTGAGTAGTCAGTGGCACCAGAGAAGGACTTATCTGCAATAAGATGGGACAATCTGCGAATCGGCATTTGGCAGATATAGAGAACAGCATTTAAGTCGCCCTGTTAGTGCTGTTGTAAATGAAGCCTCAGATATTGCAAAGCCACGTAGACCTGTCTGTCTCATCTACAAGAAACTCTACCAGTCCCAAAACTAGAAAGATGGAAGTTGTTGGGGTCTGTACCCTGAGAACTGCCGCAGATAAGCCAATGAGCTCTAGAATCTACAACTGTAGGATGCCTTCCAAGAGCCAAGGTAGTGTGAATCATTACCAGACTGTCTGAGAGCCCTGTGGTGTTGGTTCACATAGATATGAATGGCAGTTATAAAGGAAGCCCAAAATCCTTGCAGAGCAATTTCAGAGGCTGTGCAAACTATTTAAAGACCACACCCAAATCTGTGATCCTCTTGGGCATTTGGGCTGTATCCTGCAAAGGACCACATGTATGGAAAAAACAACTGCATTAGCAGATAACGATGATTATTATAGGGGTTTCTGAAACCTAGCTAATGGAGAGTGACAGGTGCGAATATAATATTAGTGGGTATAGTGTTTTCTGTAAAGATGGATAAGGTTAAGCGAGAGTAAATTCAAATTTAAGGAGATTTCTATACATTGTCGGTTCCCAGCTGATCACATTTTCCATCTGACAACTGGCTAATATTCAACATATAACACTGAATCTTAAGATCACTTTATTAGCCATATACAATTTCTTGCATTAGGAATTTGTCTTTTTGCATACCCCAGCTTGCTCTCCATGAGACACACAGACAAGGGAGGTTTTTCTTTCAAAATATATCATGAGTTTATAGTATTCAGTCCAAAGTGCTGCAAATAGCTGTTAACCTTAATAATTTTTCTTTTTCTTTCAAGAATATAGGCTTGGATTCCAATTCCATGTTTTCATGTGCCAAATTTGTTTGTATAGCAACATTACTTAATTACTGAGTATTGCAGGTTGCCACAATCATGATATCTCAATTATTGCCTTGTTATAAGCAAACTATTTTAATCCAAAATTAAATATACTGGCTTGTGTTTACCCATATTCTTCAAACTCATAAACACTGCTACATCAACATCTACTGCACTTTCATTAGTGCATCCCATTTTATTTCCTTGTTTTTTCTTTTTTTTCTTAATTTCTTAAGAACCGTTACTGAGCTATCTAGTTGCTTGATTGGAATGTAAGGTTATTTTTCTTTTCTGTGTTTTGGGATTTTATTTGACTGATGGAATAGTTCAATTGTGCAACACACGATTTTGGCAGAAATAAAAATTCAGCAGGTTTGTGGGCCACCAGGATGAGAGTTAGGGTTCAGTAACAGGCCAGAGATGTGACTTTTATTGTTTAGTGCTGTTAATACAAGTTTTCTAATATTACTGTCTACTGTAGGAATTCATTCTAAATGATTCATTACAAACAAAAACATTGAATTCAGTTCAGAATACCCATTTGTGATGAAGCACTGATTTAGTTTGGGGGATGTATTTTTCAGTTTACTATGGCTGTGGTACAAAAAAAGTGCAGCCCATTAGGTGATAGCAGTTGTAATTAGCACTTGACCACAGACCTCCTGAGAGCAGACACCAACAGTCAGACAGGATTTATCTTTCCGAGCTGGTGGCAAGCATACCCAACACACTCACCTGGCTATAAGACCCAAATATTAAAATGTCCCCTCATATTAGTTAGACATAAGTATTTTTTTCAGCCATCTTGCAGATCAGCTGAAGGTGTGCCACTAATAGGAATTACTGAATTACCAGACATGGCCACAGATAATAAGTGCTCCATTGTAGAATTAATAACACAGGAAATGTTGCTAACTTCAGCCCATGTTTGGTTGCTAGTAGCTATTTGATCTGAGCATCCCATCTTGTTGTTTGTGGAACAGAGCAAGAGCTGGGTAACTTGCTTCGTACTTCCAGAGCTCTTTGTGAGAAGATGTGCTCGTGTTCTCAGTTTTAAATTCATGTTTCCTTAGTTTCTATTTGTATCTCCTGGGTCATGTTTCATTGTTGATTTTTAAGAACTCCGTTGGGTTGACGTGCCCTTCGGTACAGAATGAATATAGGGTGTTCTTGGGGGTATTGGATTTTCCTCACATACCGTAGCTTGGGAAGGCATGACTGGGAGGACAGCAGTCTAAATTGAAACGATAGGAACCATTTTCTTACCCAGCTAAAGATCTGATAATGAGAAGTGCCTGTCATGAACTCATCTTTGCAAGCAATTAGGACAGTTGTTTGTGAAGCACTTCTGTTTGGAGCTTGATTCTCAAACAGGAGGAAATTTAATGATAAAATCGGTAACACAACAAGTCTTAAATCTAAATTTAATTTAATTTAAATCTTAAATCTTCAATTTCCATTTGTAGATGAGCACTGAAGGTCCTGGAGTCTCTGGCAGGCAGGCCTGGGCCTGACTCACAGAGCTCTTTCATCCACTTGTCCTGCCTTCCCGTGGGAATTCATATCATGGCTAAGAAATTAAAAACACAGAATGTAGCTTGTTTTCTGTATTGAAATAAAAGTTCAAAGCGGTTCGGGGATCCAGTGGCTGTCCCTTAATCCCACGTTTTGTGTTACTAGTATTTACGTTTAGATCATGTTGAGTGAGCTCCACGTACATCATGCCTCTGTTTCAGGGGGAAGGAGATGCTCGTCCTGTGAACGGGGACACTTCAGACGAAGAAGGAAAGGCCTGGCCTGATGACAGCAGCAGCTCAAGGTTGGTGCGTTTAAGCATCCACCAGTTTGAATTAAACAGACTTAGAACTTAAACCGCGGCTCAACAGCCTGTTATTTGTCACAGGGGCTCAATGATACAGCAAAGGCCGTATGTAAATTGTGTGTCGCGGTCCGTGCCGGTTAAGGCATGTTGACTCTTGTGTTCCAGCGACTACTCCAGTGATTACTCCGACTGGACAGCCGACGCTGGCATCAACCTGCAGCCACCAAAGAAAACCGTGCGCCACAAAAAGAAGAACACAAGCAGTTCAGAGGAGGATGGGGACAAGAAGAAGGAGAAAGAGAACAAAAAAGAGAGGAAGAATGAAAAGCGCGACAAGGACGGAGCACTACCAAAGAAAAAGAAGCCAAAAGAAAGAAGGATGAAAGTGAGGAATTTTGTGTTAATGTACTGCTGTTTTTAAAACGAGACATTATTATTCACACTGACGGGGCCAGAATTATGATGAGATTAGATTATAGAAACATATGTACATGTCCAAGGTACGTATTCTCAAAGGATTTAACACAAGTTCACTTTTACTGACACTTTCTTTCTAACAAGACTGAAATAAATTACAGATAAAAAGCAGTAAGTCACAGGGCATGCAGTTTACTTTATGGATGCTATGCATGAGGAAATAATTTTTCTTCCGTTTTACAACTTGCCGACATTTATGGCCTTCAGAAAAGAATAATGCTAACGCCGAATTTGTGGAAAACATCAAATGAATTATAGACCGTGGTTCATCCTTCAATAGAACTAAGTTTAGTATGTCTCCTTGAAACTGAAATTGATGCAGATACTTAGGTTTTCCTGGCAAATACATCTGTTTTCCATACAATTAATTACTTACGAGAACATAAAACAGTGTCTAAACTTTATCCTTTTCCCAAGATATCACTTACATTTACAGCTCTGATCATTCTGAACTGTTTGGCTCTTGGACAGTCCAGCTGGCTGAAGTTTTAGGACAAAACATCTAAAGAGAGCTTTTCCTTCAGTCCTTCAGCCAGATGCTTGCTGTCTTTTTCACAATGTGATTCATCCTGATGATGTCTCGGCTCTCTCGCTGTGTTTCGACACAGAGGGTGCCTGTGGAGGACTTCCAGGAGCAGGGCCTGACATTGGAGGAATGGCTGCCTTCTGCCTGGATCACAGACACTGTGCCCCGGAGGTGCCCTTTCATTCCACAGATGGGCGATGAGGTAGCGTCATCACTGTGTAATTTCTATTCAAGTTTTCCAGGTAGACTTTTTTTTTTTCTTCTCAATTTTGGAAAGGCCAATTCAGATTCCTCCTTAGTTTTGCGGCTGGAAGGTGAGCAGGTGTGAACATGGAACATCCTCCTGAAAGGGACAGGGAAGGTATTACTTATTAAAGTGGTTTACACTAAGAGAGCATCCCCATTATAGGTCTATGCTCTCTAGGTTACTGTAATACAAATGGCTGGACAGTAAGAAGAATCCTTACTTCTTACGGAGTGGTGGCACTGTGGCTAAGGATTTGCGCCTGTGGCTGGAAGGTTGCCGGTTCAAATCCCACGAATCCTACTCCGTTGGGCCCCTGAGCAAGGCCCTTAACCCCAACTGCTCCAGGGGTGCTGTACAATGGCTGACCTGTGCTCTGACCCCAAGCTTCTCTCCCTGTCTGTGTGTCTGTGTCTCACGGAGAGCAAGTTGGGGTATGCGAAAAAGACGAATTCCTAATGCAAGAAATTGTACATGGCCAATAAAGTGATCCATCTTATTGAGGGAACTCCCTTAATTATCGTTGTCAGGGGGTAAATCGCTTTGGCTAGAGTCTTTCCCACATGTTGTTAAATATTTAATAATCCCAAATTATTTTAATGATTCACTACACTTTTTCCTAAAGGAGATGACAGCTCATCTGTTTTGCATTGAAATCTTTTTATTCTCTTCCTGCTGACTGCAGTAGTTTATTTTTTTGTCTAGGTGTACTACTTCCGCCAGGGCCATGAAGCCTATGTGGAAATGGCCAAGAAAAACAAGATTTTCAGTATAAACCCTAAAAAGCAGCCCTGGCACAAGATGGAGCTGAGGGTAATTTTATTTTCCAAAAAATACTTTTCAGTTTTGTACATAGACACACCTCTCATTGGAAAATATAAACTGTACTTATTTTTCATTTTACATGAAGAATATGTTAATTAGGGAAACGAAAAATAATGGCATTAGTAGTGAAAACCTTTTATTGTTTAAAATTTTCCAAATTATTTTGTAGACTTGGTTTTCCTCTCAAGATTAACAGATTTTTTTATACTGGCAAAAAATACATTCTTTGCCTAATAAAGTTTTTTTGTAATATGTTAGTAAATTTTCCAAGTGCAATTAATAAAGTTAGATAGAGTGAGTATGAGAGAAAGTGAAAAGAGTTAAATAAATCAGCAAAAACCACCTGCTAGAGTGTAATGTTTAAGACTGAAGAACAGGAAATCAGACAGAGAAGTAATTGAGCTGTAGTTGCAGATGTGATTAAAGATGTTTTCATCTTATTGTGAATAATATCCCACAATAGAAATGCATGGCATTGAAGCCCACTGCAGATCCTCATTTAAAAAAGCCGCTGAATATTAAACTAAGAGGTCTGTTTCCTAACAGGAGCAGGAGCTGATGAAGATAGTTGGGATTAAATACGATGTAGGGCTACCCACCCTCTGCTGTCTCAAACTGGCTTTCCTTGACCCAGATACTGGCAAACTAACTGGAGGATCTTTCTCGATGAAGTAAGTCCATTCTGTTACAAAAATGCAGAAATGGAGTCTTGTCTTAACAGGATTATTCTTGAGCCTTACAATCTTAACTGATATAGAAGCACTGCTTTTGAAAACCAGCAGTAAAACAAATTCTCATTTCCTGGAATGTGTCAAGTTAAACAATTGGTACTCTTTGCTGTATTGTGGGATGCAGCTTTAGCAGAAAAAGATTATTGTATGAGGTCCAGAGGTCTGCAATGTCTCCTTACTTTTATTCCGGTGTAGCTTGTAATGATTGACTAGTTTCGAGCACGAAATGAGAAAGAGAAAGAAACTTAATAGTAGTTTTTCCCTGCATGTGTAGATTTGTGAAGGCTTTCCATCACTTAGATTAATTAAAAAAATAAAAGAATGAGTCAAAGATATTTTCAGCCTTGTGGGGAATGAGTAATTAGAATTTGAACAAGTTACTTTTCTTTAGATCCTTACCATGTGAAGTGAGTTCAGATGTTAACTTGACAGCTGTGCTGTGTTTGGTTTGCCAAAGGTTTTGGTGCTTAGGGTTTTAAAAATTAAATGTACTGACTGAAGAATAGTTCAAGTGCATTTTTTTTTTTGTTTTTACACACATTTTATAATCAGGTTTTATATTTGTAGGTACCATGACATGCCTGATGTGATAGATTTCCTAGTTCTCAGACAGCAGTTTGATGATGCACGGAACAGGCAGTGGAGTATAGGTAAGTCCTTACTCAGTTCTTCTAAATCTTTTCTCTCTAGGCTATCAGAGTGATGAATTGTGAGTGATGGTGTTTTATAGCTGTTTTTGCTACATTAGGAATGTAGAGAAAAGGGGGTGTTATTAGTTAATCCTGACACCAGGTTGAGTACTGTATTAGCAACTTGTGAATGTTAAATAATAAAACACTAAACAAGGAATACTGATCTAGGTTCACCAGTATGGTGTTTTTGTTTCGAAAAAATGAGGCCTAAGAAGATTAAAAGATTAACGCATTAAAACTCACACACGAGATATGAAACATCAATACTCATATTCACAAATGTTCTTCTGCACACTTTTATTTCGAGTTGCAATGAGCTCCAGCTCCAAAAAAAGTACATCTGCACCATTGGTGACCGGTCTGCCTTGGAGAGTGTCAGGCTCAAAAGTTGCCCAATGAGCTGTTCTCTCATTTATTTTTATCCCAAGACCAGAGACTCATCACCTACACATAATATATACCCAACACATAATGCACCATAAATTTTGAAATTCAATTTTAAGTGTTATTCAGATATATGGTGGTATGCGAAAACTCTGTCAAAACAAGGCACCTGCTTAAAGGGACAAGTTTTATGAAAATTAGACAAAGGTGTGGGGGGAAAAGGGTATTTTCACTAAACACATTTTTTAAAAATGTTTAATTTGAAATAGTATGTGCAGTATTTTATTTTTTAAATGCTGTGTGGAAAATGCAGGGACAGTTAGTAATAGTATTACACTTGTGCTTAACTCAGCATTATAGCAAACCTTAAAACAAGGTTAATGTGTTTTTTTTCCTCATTGCCAGCAGGACTCTTCTACTTCTCTGTATCTGACAGACACTCTTTTCTAATTTACCCAAACCAATGTGAAGGTGCTCTGATACTTAACTGATACCAGAGTAATAAAGTAGTGTACAGACTGAAATTAGAATAGTGGGAAATGTTAAAATACTACATTTTTTAAACAGTATATAAAGATTTCTTCTAGTAATATGTGAGGGTGAAAAACACTGACACAAACATTGCATAAGTAAAACAAAGGCAAGTGTCCTTCACTGCAGCAGACTAGCTCATTGTTTCTTTAAATGATACATTTATTATCACTTTGTCAATTTTCTTTCTGCTTCAATTGCAGCTGTCTCTGTTTAATCTCAGTATAAGATTAATTATAAAAAGAAACGTTAAAGAATGGTAGGTCTTTCAGATATTAAAACTGATTTAAATCCTCTATTTCCATAAAATACAATTAGTGTTCTCTCTCAGCAAATGCAAGCACAGTTACCAATGACAGATCCCTTGAGTTTAATTTTCTTCCAAGGAACTTGTTTTTATTGGAGCTACTGGCTGCCAGATGGTGTATTTTTGGAGTGGTCTTAAGAAAAACAATTGTGTACAGTTCAGAGGCTTTGCTAGAATTAGTTGTCTTTGCTTTTTCTAGCAGCCGATGATAAAGATATGAGGACATATTAAGTGAGATTTTTCATTCTTCAGATCAGATTCAAGGGATAGCCTAGATATTGAGCTTGTTGGTTTTATGTGTGTATGTGGTGCAGGTTTTAGGCAGCTGCTTCGAAGTGAATTTTTGTCTGTTTGACTTTAAGTGTTTTATATCAACACATAGGTGATCGTTTCCGCTCTGTTATTGATGACGCCTGGTGGTTTGGAACAATTGAAAGCCAGGAGCCGTTTCAGACCCAGTATCCTGACAGCCTATTTCAGTGTTACAATGTCTGGTGAGTAGTTGCTTTACTCCCTTTCCTAGCCTTTAACATTGTGTGCATCCAATTTTAAAAGGAAGACTTCAGAAACTCTTAAGATGTTTTTTTTTAACTAAAAGTAGTTGTTAATGGTTTGTATTTTAAGTGGTGACAGAAAAATACTGTATGAAAACATTGTCCTTTTTTATGCTGTGCAGCACTTTATAAAACGGTAGACTTCATTCAATTGTTTTGCACAAAATTTACTTTTTATGAAAAAGACTACCTGTTACTTTCACTTTTTACTTTTTACAGCACTAGTTTGTAATTTTATGTTTTGGTGTTTTATAGACCTCTGTTGCTTAGCCTTACTGTTGACTGTTTTCTTTTTTCGATAATATGCTTACATATTTATTTTGGATCATTTTTGACATTTCATGTAATTAACACTCCTCCATGTATGGACTGTTTGTTTTATCAAATTCAGTTATGCTGATGAGTGCAAATCTGACAGATGCCATGATGATTATTGAATTATGTTTAGATTTGATGAAGGTATTGGATCGTGTCAGAGACATGTGTGTAATTTAAATATCAGATTCTCTAGTGATTGGTTTATTGTTTGTTTAATGAGTAGTTACTGTAGTATTAAAACAAAAATGCCTGTTTTCTTTCATCATAAGATTTTTCTAATGACTTGGCAAGCTTCACTGGCACAGCATGCATTCTAAAGTACACGCAGTACCCTAAAACTCAACACATGCACTGGACAGACATTAAATGTATTTTTTGTGCTATCGTTTTTGCACAATGTTGTTGATTTTCCCATCATGAAGCCCTTGATTCAAATCACTCTACACAGAAATCTGAAGTTGAGCCTTTTCCCTTTAGGATCAGCGTCTCCAGAAAAGCCAGTCGGCTGTGGTTGTTAGTCAGACCTGAAGTCTTGTATTTAATTAACTCAGTGCCCCTGGTATAAGCAACAAAGTCAGTGGTGTGTATGAGTGTGCATTCTTAGTTTGATTTGCTGGGGCAAGGACCAGTTTCAATTGTATGAAGACTTTTCAAACTATAAGACTTACAGTGTAGTAAAAAAAGAACACAGACTTGTTTTTCTGTAATCACATTTAGGTTTAAGTATGTAAGTGAGAACAGATGCTGCTACTTTTTTAGCTAATCATAATTCTCCATTTAGCACAAGAACATACAGTACAAAGTATACATTATTTTAGTCTTGAAAATTAATGAATTAATGGCTTCCTACAATTTTTACTGTGCATGTACCATTATCTGGTCATTTATTTTCTGGTACCTCATTACACAGATAGGTACAGTATGGCTGTCCTGTTCTGGTCTGAAATGGAACCAAATTTGTGTAACAGTGTAAAGATTTCAATATATTTACACTTTTCTATATAGGTGAGAAGCCTATAAGCTCCTTACTGCAGCTTATACTCTTAACAGATGACTTGCATTGTGAAGTGACATACTGTAACATGTAGTGTAATGGGCCAGATGGCCTCCTCTAGTTCCCCATCTTTCTGATGTTCTTAAGAAAGTATATATCCTGTGGTACTTGATGTAACTAATAATGTACATATTATTGCTGGCACCACTGTGTGAAAGTGTTCAAGTATAAAAAAATAGAGGGCTTCTTACCTGGGGTGTAAATGCCAGTAAGTTGTCTGTAAATAAAGACAAAGACATGCATTTTTTCAGTGCATCTTTATTTTGACTGAAAACTGCACTGGTTGGTTTTAGACCCATTTTCAGATACTGCGTTGTTGATGAACCACACTTAGTCTGGTAATTTGGGAACTGCGGTTTGAATGAAAGGGTCATTTTAAAAGTAATCCAAGTTCCTGTTCTGAACAGGCAAACAAAGCACTTACCTGGAAGTGAGCTCATCTTGGGGAGGGAGAAACCAGGCCAGAAGGCAGCTGGAGAAATAGATATACCCTGCAATTGAGCTGTAAAGCTTGTAATAGCAGGCACCGACATGCTATTTATACTGTACAACCGTACACACTGTTTAACCCGGTCAGATCAAAAAGTAGGTGATGGGGGGGTGCTTAGTTTTATATTCCTGTGAAAATGACTGAAATCAGTCATTCCTTTTTAATTGTGTATTTTATTTGTGCTTTTCTGATGTTAAACTTGAGTTGAGCCATATTAATACGTGTTTCAGTTTGTGTTGTGGGTTACACTCGTCGTGGGAGGGATCGACCCAGCACAGGAGGGGACTTGCAGGGGTCTAATTAGGACTCATCTGAATCTGAGCCAAATCAGTCCTGCTGCACATAAGAGGTCACAAACCAGAGGAGGTCACTTGGCCTATCGAGCTCGTTTGGTGTTTAGTCCCTAATTAATCTGAGGATCTCCTCCAGCCTTTTCTTGAAAGAAGCCAAGGTATCGGCTTCAACAACATGGCTTTGTATCCCGTTCCATATTCCAACTTCCCTCTCAGTACTGAAATCCCGCTCTTGGTTTTAAATATGCTTCTACATAGTTTCCTCTTGTGTTCCCTGGTTTGTGTTTCACTGTTTTTCTGAAGTCGTCCACTGGGGTGGTTTTGTCACTGCCTTGGAGGACTTGGACTGTTTGGATCTGGTCCATCGTTGTCTGTTCAGAAGGTCAAGTTCGGCTCCTTTATCTTGTCTGTGTGGGACATTCCTTTAAGCCACGGAATGTATCTGTTTCCATAACATCCGTATCTCTTTTGTCATTTCTTTTTTATACATGATAGTACAATTTAAGTGTAACATTCCATAATTTACATTGTATGCTTTTAACTGTAGTGTATATCCTAACTTTTTATTTGCTTTTTTATTGCTTACCCACATTGTCTTAATGCATACGGTGACCTAAGTCTTTTTCATGAGTAGCCTTTCAAGCTCAGTATTTGCCATTTTGTATCTCTAGTTTTATTTGCTACCTGCATGCACAGTAATATTCTGCACTTAATATACAATCAAGGTCATCTGCAATGCGTTTCCCCTAAATCTTTTGAATGCTATTTGCTGCTTCTTTTGTGTTTGCTAAGTTTCCTATTTTGGTATAATTTGCAAACTTTAGTAGTTTGCGAATTATACCAAAATGTATACGATTAGCTGTTCTCCATGTTTTCTCTCCATTAACCAATTCCAAACACGTATATTTCCCAGAATTATTACCGCCAGTAATTTGAGTGTAAATCTTTTATGAGGTACATTATCAAAAGCCTTGTGAAAATATAAATACAAAGAATTGTACGCTCTGTATGTGTCCATTACAGTTTCTTTATTTGGTTTTATCACCGTTTTTATGGATGGGCACTGCATTAGCCATTCTCTGGCCCCTGAGTATTCCTACCCCTATCTTGAGCGAATCTTGAAAGAGGTTTGTCAATGGTTTATGAGATACATCTCCTTTTCTTAAGTATAGTAATAGGATATCATTGTCCCCTGGAGAATTATTAATCTTGACTGCTTGTATTACCTGAGAAAGCTTTAGCTTACTCTGCGTTAAAAAGTGTTTAGTACAGAACTTTGTCCTTCCACTGCCTGCGGCATCTTGTTAATTTTATATTTAGTGAACACCTGAGTGAAATACTCATTTAGTACATCAGCATTTCCCTTTTATCGTCTAGAGGTTTCCCCTTTTTGTCTCAGATGCATTTTACTTCATCCTTTAATGTTCATTTGATGTTTCAATACTGAAAGAACTTTTTATTATTTTACTCCCCACTGTTGTGTTCCGTTTCCTCTCGTCTTTCGAAAATCCTTACCTGTGCTTGCAGTTCACCTTTTCTTTAACTGGAATCTGATTTTTTATTAACAAATAATTTTTATTAATATATTTAAATTATAAAGTGTTTTTTCGACTTTGTTTTTCCTCATTTATTTGTTAAACCATCTGGCATGCTGTGTTTGTGTTTTCACTATTCACTACACCATTCTCCTCTGATTCCACGTCTGTCCTGCACCATTTTACTTCTCTTGATCTCTAGCTCCTTCCAAATCGGCTTTCTGGAAGGTGTGAGCGCCTGTGATCTGGTCTCAAATTGTACTGTTTCAAAGCACACCTTTTTATGTGCATGGTAAAGAGCTTATTTTCTATATAACTGCTTTTTTAAAAAAGTTTTTGCTTTTTTTTTTGCACTTAAATTGTCATCCTTTGTTCATTGTTTGTCTCTCCTGTTTCATCTCCATTTACCTCAACGCCTCATTGTTGTGGTTCCTGCTGAGAATGAATGTGCCGACCATGCAGACATTCTTTTTTTATTTTAGGCTGTGTCATAAGCACATTGTGACTTGGATACGCCGAGTAAAGTTGGCTGAGGGCTGCAGAAGTTGAACGGGTTCAGAGTGGCCTTTGAAATGGCAAACTGGGTGGCATGTTAGAGTCACCGATGCCTCACTCTGCTGTTTGTGCTGGGGCCGGTATTGTTAGAGGAGAGGGGGAGCTTGATATCGCACAATCCAGTGGCTACAAACATCACCTACTGTATATTTCTTGATTTTCTGCTCTTGTAGCCGATTAACTGTCAACAGACCCTGAATAGGTATCATGAAAATATTAGCTCTGTTAAAACATGCAGGCGTTTTCACTTCTTGTACTCTGTGGTGTGTAGTACCCCTGCAAATTCTCTTGGGGGGCTTCACCCCAGCTTGGAGAAGGAGGAAAAATAAGTATGATAACAGTAATAGTCGTGGCGTTGGTAACTCTTCTGTGATCACACCATAAATAAACAGAAGCAATCTTTATACCAAAAAGTGAAAATTGTGTTCCTGAAGTGTAACCCGGCACCTGGGAAGTGTGAAACACTATTAAAAGTATACTTACTGAAGAGAGCCTCCCAAAAAATGAAGTACAGAAAGGCATTAATAAAACGTGAAGACGCTAATATATTCCTTTAGAGGGCTTTGGTGTTTCTTCACTGTCACCTGCTTTTATTCTTAGAAGAGGTTTCTCCGTTTCTCTGTCCTCCCCCATCTGTGGCAAATACATACATAGATTACCTAGTGCAGCAATTAGGGAGAAACATGGTACTGAATCTTTGCAGCTGTTCCTTTGGCAGTGAAACTCAACGACTTCTTCATGATCCATTAACAATTTTAATCTTCCTTCTAGTTGGGATAATGGTGACACAGAGAAGATGAGCCCCTGGGACATGGAGATCATTCCTAATGATGGTAAGTGGAGTGGCCCCTCCGAATTGTAAACCTAAATAGAACTGGTGTTTTGGTGGCTCGCAGGAGCTGGTTCAAGATTAGAGTCTTTCAGTGAAATTCATTTTCTCGTTTTTGATGCAAGTATCTCTAAAGATTCATAATTGAAATGGTTTTTAAAAGTTAATGCCATGTTAAGCTGAAGAACTACTGAAAGAAGCTGATATGCATTTAATGTTCTAACAAAAACTCTTCTTTTAGCACAGACATAATACTTAGAAACTGAGCTTACTGATCAGAAAATAAATAGAACTAAGAAAAGCAGATATAGATAATATAATAAGCAGAAAGATGCAAACAAGACAAATACCTGTATTCCAGATAAATGCATTTCTTTTTGCCATTTATTATTGAAGGCTCACTGCTGGGGATAAGATTCTTGTTGGGTTTTAGGATATAATAATGTAGTGAACTTCAGAAAACCTCTAAATACAGTATGTAATCATATATTTTTGTTAACATGGCAAAACGTATTGCATATTATATGCTGGTTTCCTTTTAGGGAAAAGCTACTGTTACTGTTTGAACTGAAAATGAAAAAAAATGTTAACTTTTACCACAGTATTTCAAAAGTGCCTGTCCTAATGGAAGTAGTGATGTAGTATTGATTATACCGATGGTACGGTGTGGTTGATGTACCTCAGGGATCAAACAAACGTGCCTTCAAATTGTCAAATAGACACACAATTTATCTTAAATATGGCGAACAATTCCTCTTGGAATGCTCTGTTTTGGTCCATATCCAACCTGATTTTTTCTCTTCATTTTTTTTCAGTGCTAAAAAGGCTAAAATGTGTTTAATAATGTATTCCAATAGTGAATACATATTCACTAACCCAATTCTTAGGAACACAATGCCCAAATGAATAAGAAATCAATTATATTCACAGGACGTTTGCATTCGGATACAAATTTAGTGCAAAAGGATGATATGATTGTAGGGGCTCATTATTCTTTTGGGGGACATGGTGTGAGAGGGAACAGCGCATTGTCATCTACAGGTTTTCTGTCAGGACAAGACACAGTCATATGTTTACCTATAGATGTTCAGACAAAAGATACATATTCATGAATCTGCACTAACTAAATCATGCAGTTGTTTTTCGAAAAGTCACTCTATCTGTCTCCAGTGAAACCTCTGAAATAAATAAAGTAACAACACAGGTTCCATGTAAATGAGGGAGAAATGTCAAGACTGTGCAGTGCCTCGCTTAAGATCTGTCACATTAAACATGCAGTGCTTATAAACAAGGATGCTTGCACTGAGAGGAGTACCTTAAATAGACACAAATAAATGAACTAGCAGTTCCTTTAACAAGCATTTGAGAAGTCTTTGCTTACAACTATAGGAGACCAGCAGGATGGAAAATTGCAGGCCGTGTTTGTGAAGTAAACTTTATTTTTGCAACAGCTTTTTCTTGTACAGCAGTGGTGATGATCATACAGCAAGTAAGAGAGTATAGTAGGCAAACTAACCAATTTTATAATTGAGTGGTTTTTAAAGGATGTCAGTTTATCAGTGTATTCTGAGTTAACTTTAGATAAATTAAAAGTCATTACAGTACTATGGATTCCTGCGAATATATACAGTGAATTGCTTTAGATTTCTAAAGCAATTCACTGTATGTATTCGTAGGAATCCATAGGACTGTAATAGTATCCATAGTACTGTGAGTACAGAGTAACTCCAGATTGAGCATATATAATTAAACAGGGTAAGCTTAGGGTTAAAGTTGGAGTATTTAGAATGGGGAAAGCTAGTTATTGTTCATGCTTTTGTATCATGCAATTTGCCTCAGGCAATACTTTGTCATTCGATGTGTTTTGTTAAGATGAAGTTGCACACACACTTGGCATGGAGTTTATTCCAAGTACCTGGGAATAAAAAAGTACAACAGTTCTCTAGTTGCTGCTGTTTTGTTTATTTCTAGGCATTTAAGTTTTTGCATTGGGCCTAAAAAGTTGGAACCAAGTGTCTTATTCCCAGATACGGCCCAGATTTAAACTAGCAGTGTCTGGAGTGTTTGACTCACTCTGTGCTCTTGGTGAACACCGGTTTAAGCTGGACCAATCAGGAGACCTTTTTTAAATGTGCTTTTTAAAAAGCGGCCAATTCACAAGAAGGTATTGATCATCTTCACGTGTGACATCTTGTTCTCGGTTCTTTAAACTATGAAAATGATGGAAAATATCTCTCACCTAAACCACAAGTAATTAAAATTGTTGCTTTTGCAGCTGTCTTGTTTTATTGTCTGACTATGGTTATGACCGCTTAAGTACTTAATGCATATAGAGGTGCAAAATCTGTTTGGCAGCTATGACAGTAAGTCTGCACATATCATCCTGCTGTAATAGTACCTGTGTGTTTGACTCCCACAGCCCTTATGTGACCTCCTATTGAATGTTTAATAATAGTAATGTATACTGCTTACCAGTGGGTTTTTTTCCAATTTTTTTCAGTCTTTATTGTTGAATCATATTTGTTGATGCTAGATTGTTTTAATTGGAATTTGCGAGGCTCTGGTTTCCTACTACAGTCTAAAGCATACTTGTAGGTTAATTTGGCTTCCGGACAAATTGGCCCCGGCGTGAGTATGTGTGTCTGCCTTACAACGGATGGTGTGTCTGCCTTACAACGGATGGTGTGTCTGCCTTACAACGGATGGTGTCCCATCCAGGGTGTATCCTGCCTTGCGCCTGTTGCTTGCCAGGATAGCCTCCGGCTCCCCCACTGCCCTTGGTTGGAAGAACCGGCGGGAGGGAGGTTTGGATGGATGAGTTTTGCACAACTGTAAAAAGGTTTAAATCTCAACATTGCGTGTTACTGGTGGAAGTTTGTGGTCAACTCTTAGGCTTTCAAAATAGAGAAAGAAAAGAAATCATTCTGTTTTAAAAGAATAAAAAGCTCTTCCTGCTAGGTAATATTCAGCTCAAGTAGGTTTTTTCAAAGTAAAAAAAACCCGCCACAAGCTTAATTTTTCCTTGTGAGGCCTGGAGCCTGTTGAGCACAGAGTAACGGCACGCATGGTTTTCCCCAGCTGTGTTCCCGGAGGAGCTGGGCCTCAGCGTGCCTCTCACCGAGGAGGAGCACCGCCAGCTGCTGTATGTCCCCCTGGAGGGCGAGTGGGGCTCCCGCACCAGGGACGAGGAGTGCGAGCGGATCATCGCCGGCATCAACCAACTCATGACTCTAGGTACGCCTCCGCGACTGCTCCCAGCCTTCATCGGGGCTGTCTGCCTCTCACTTCCACACTTCAGCACCCCCAGGAACTCCTGCTTCTTAAAAGCAGTTGTTCACCTGTAATTTTGTGAACTGTCGTTTTGGTAAATGTGCTGAATGTAGAGGCCCTTGTATCTTTATCACATGGAGGCCCTCAAAGTTGTTGAGTGTTTAACAATGGGGAGATTTTGTATTTAACAGATAGGTACTTTATTGTCCACTGCTGTGGAAATTTGTCTTTGGCTTCTCCCACAGAAGTACAAAACACACCAGCAAAACATAAGAGTCACATACAATCACATGACATCACAGCAGTATGTGATGCATAAATAAATCGATAAATAAATTGGTGATGGGGGTACTACATTTGCTTACATTCATTGAGTAGTTCTGTTGCAGAGGGGACAAAAGACTTCTTATGTTTTTTATTTGAATTTGGCACCCTATACCGTCTTCCTGATGGGAGCGTTATGAATTGAGAAGTGAGTGGGTGTGTGGAATCAGCTGTGAGGTTCCTGGCCATTCTGAGAACTGTATTCTGATATAAATCGCTGAGCTTGGACTGCTGTTTCCCAATTAGTTTTCCTCCAATTTTCATAATCCTGTACAGTTAGGCTTTTGTATACCACCTCTAGGACATTTTAACTAACATTAAAATTCATGAATATATTATTGAAGTTATTCATACAAGATGTGCATTTTGTTTATTTCAGCTGTGCTCTTAAAATAGTATAATTGTTTCATTTTTTTCTTGTTTTAGATATTGCTGCTCCCTTTGTATTCCCTGTGGATCTTCATGCTTATCCGACATATTGCACTGTTGTTGCCTATCTAACTGACCTCAGTACGATTAAACAGAGATTAGAGAACAGGTTTTACAGGTAAACTCAGTTTCATTTTGTTTTACAGAAGCACTTGTGTCTTATCTAGCATTTTTGTTTGGAATTTTAGTGCATATGATTGAAGTTGGTTTTTAGTTGATTTTTGTAGGGCTTTGCTCAGTTAATCTTTGGCCTGTTGTGTTTCATTACTTTGCCCAGGCGGATGTCCTCTTTAATGTGGGAAGTTCGGTACATAGAGCACAACGCACAGACCTTCAATGAACCAGGAACTCCTATTGTAAAAACAGCCAAATTTGTAACGGACTTACTGCTGCAGTTTATCAAGTAAGTGTGATGCCTGTATCTCCCTGAACTGCTTTAAACTTTTTAAAGAAATTGCAGTAAATATTCAATGAATTAACATTTATTTGTATTGTGTCTTTAATAAGAAGTAAAGATCATAGGGACTTTTATAGCAATGTTCTTTCATTTTGTTACAAAGACTTTTTACAAAGTAAAACTGTATTCATTTTTGTGTGACATTACATAGTTTAAATTGTTCTGTTTTTTTTAGGGACCAAAGTTGCACTGATATAATCCCTCTGTACAACAGCATGAAAAAGAAAACCTTCTCTGACACAGAAGAGGTATAACTTGAAAATTATCACTCTTTTCTTGTAGCTGTGATGGTGTAGTCTGATGTCACTCCCTTAGTGATTAGTAATTGTTTCTAGGTAAATGTAAACAATATAACAAGTGTATAGAAATGTCTGTTTAATTTGAAGCTATTCCAAACCCCAGTTGTATGCAGCATGTTTTCCGTAAACTATAACCTCTTTTGCACCAGCACAGCTGAGCTGTATCGAGGTTGCTCTAAGTCAGCTCTCTGGGGGTTGCTTTCCTTGAATTTTTTTTACACTGGAGAGGTGAGCTGAGTCACTGTCACACACAGTGATGAGCATGTGAGGGCAGCTGTGTGCAACTACTAACTCAATCTAAAGAGATACCACCTTCTAAATAAGAAACCTTGCCAACACATGGAGAGCCCATCTCCGGGTTTCTCCAATATCGTTTTTGTGCATTGGTAAAAATTCAAAAGTAACTCACTTAGAACAAATTAACTATTAGACATTTTTTTCATTTTCCCTCATATGCTCACAATCTTAATCCAAATTATTATTTTTTATTATTTACTATTTTTTATTTTGTTCTTTCTGTGCTTGAATCAGCACTTTCATAACGTTTCTCAAAACTAGAATGCACACCAATACTAATATGATCTCATTGTTAAATATTTCAATCACAACACATCACATCACAACACATCCTCTACTAGCCAGCAGCCATATCACCCTGCAGCTCTCAACTGGCTACCCACTGAAACTAAACAGTATTTGGATGGGAGACCTCCTGGAAAGCTCAGATTGCTGCTGGAATTGACGTTAGTGAGACCAGCAGGGGGCGCCCACACTGCGGTCTGTGTGGGTCCTAATGCCCTGGTATAGTGACAGGGACTCTGGACTGTACTGGGCGCTGTCTTTTGGGTGAGACGTTAAACTGAGGTCCTGACTCTCAGTGGTCATTAAAGATCCCCGGGCATTTCTTGATAAGAGTAGGGAGTTACCTCGGTGTCCGGGCCAAATTTCCCCCCCTCGGCCTTTACCGTGGCCTCCAAATTGTTTCCATGTATGATTGGCTTGCACTTGCCCTGCGATTGACTGGCGTCCCGTCCAGGGTGTACCCTGCCTTGCGCTCGTTGCTTGCCGGGTAGGCTCCGGCTTCCCCCGGACGCAATATAATGCGGTTTGGCAAATGACATGACATCCTGTACTTATTTCTCATGTTTCCAGGTTATTTTTAACCACACAGACTATATATAATAATTAGCAGAGATCTGGAGGCAGCACAGGGCTCCCATATCTTGGATCCTGAGTTCAGTTCTGGGGTGGGACTGTACTTCTGTGTGGAGTATACACGTTTCTTCTGGTCACATGGGTTTTCTCTCACCTCCCAATGACGTGCTGGATAGGTTAGCGGGTGTTGCTACACACCAGTTGGTGTGTGTGCTTGTGTGCACACTGGGTTAGACTGCAACCCTCCTTAGGGTGTAACAGCTATGGATGGTGAATTGGAACAATAGCTTTTATGATAAAATATTTTTGTGTAAACTATATGCTATTCATATAAAACACTTGTGTATTAATCATTTTTTTTGGGGGGGTTACGAGCTCTAGAAATCGCTTTCTTTTTTATATTTATTTTTTTAGCCGTGACAAGAGTGCTAAGCCTTTTTTCTCCTCGATGACGTGCTACATTCTTGCTCCCTTTCTTTCATGGCCTGCCTCCGCCCAGAACCAGACTCCAGTATGTCATGAGGGCAAATGTCAGCTTGGTCTTCACTCATCTCAGTGGTGTGCTTGTATAAACGCTCCAGTACCTCAAAGCCTGGCTCTGCTGGTGTGTGAGGGCTAATAGAGGGAGAGCTGGAGCGTACGATTTCCTATTCCTAATCCTTTTCTTCGGGGTGGAAAAACTTGTGCATTTGTTGTGATATTCTGAGTGACCCCGGTTGATCCTTCATATTAATCTGTTTGAATAAGTGGGATAAATGGGTATATCTACAAACCCCAAATCATTTGTGTTTGAACACCTCGTATGTCTTGTTTATTAGTACACTAAGAGCCAGAGTTTACTGAGCAGTGAGTAAAATGATGTGATACATATTAATCTAAATGTTAATGTGATTTTCAGTAGTTGTATTAATATTAATTGTACTGCTTGTAATGTTTATAAGAGGACAGACATTTATTTAATGACCAAGAGGTTTATGGTCAAAGCATATTAATAAATTAAGACATTTATATCTGTTTTCTAAAAGGAGAAACATGTTGGTAAATTGAAATTCCTGTTTTATCTATAAAGCTTAAGGTCTATCAAGAATATGTTTCTGTCCTTTGTTGCTCATTTCATATAAATAGGATTTTTTCTGACGTCAAAATCAGTAGGCATATTATGTAGCAACAGTGTCTGTGAAGGGAGATGCTGGTGACATATTCTATAAAAGCAAGTCACATTACTGACAAGCACTTCAGATGTTTTCTCATCTAGTAATTAAAGCATTACATTTAATTCAAGCACTAAACTGTGAAACATAAAATACTTGCATATATTAACTTTACAAGCTAGATGTAAACTGTACAATGACTGTTTATTTTCACATACAGCTGCATGATTAAATTGTTAATCAGACACCTGCCGGTCGCTGTTTTGCAGGATGAAGATGAGGATACTGATGCTCCTGGTACTTCTACAAGAAAAAAGAAGGTAACTGATAGTCTTTACCCAAACTTCTTTGTGGTAATCAGCATTCCAGTAATGCCATTTTTTGTTTTTATGAATTTTCTAGCACTGTGTGTGACACAGGGACACAAGACTTATCATTGTGCTTTCACAGTTCAATTCTAGATCAGTAGGCATCTCTGCCTCCCTACAGGGTACATCCTGGTTGCAGAGTTAGACTTAATCTCACCAACACCTTGTACAGGACTAATCATTTATTATAGTAGTTGGGGATTGTTTGTAATAGTCTACCAAAAAGAGTAGTTACAAAAAACAAAGTTCAACCTAGATAGCCTTTGCCGTGAGTAAATCTCCTTAGGCTTGACCTTGTGATAGTTTAACAGTTAAATAAGTTACGTATAATGGTGAACCCTTCACCTTTAGTCAACATCTGTCCTAGAACAGAGAAAAAAAGATTTTCGGGGCACGCCCGAATATTAGCAACTGGGTTTATAACAAAGGTTCAAATTGACACAGAAAATTAACAGAAAAATAACTTAGAATAAATCAGAAACTTTAAATTATACAAAAACTAATTTAACCCAGCTTTGATTGGGGAAGTGCAGGAAGTAGATTTCTTTTTAATGTCGCAGCATTTTTCACTTTGTAACAATCATAGAAAAAAACGTTACTTATCACTCCAGTCCATAGTTTTCAAGTCCAAACTCCTGCTTGGTTTAAGATGAAGTCGGATATCAGCAGTCCCCAGCAATAACACGAAACAAAATGCTGATTGAAGAGATATATTTTGTAATGTGATGAGTTATAAAGAACCCAAAATGATTTCTTTATGTGCAATTCCCCCACTTGACATCAAGCATCCCAGGATCAAAAACCTTTAGCAATTGTTGACTCCCTTCTCTGCAGCAAGACAAACAGTTGTGATACCACTCTTACTTCAGAGAGGGCTAGTGAACAAAGCACAAGCCTGTCCACCAGGGACACACCACACCTGGGACACACCATTGACCTCCTGGGCACATATACAGTATAACTACCTCCCATTAGTGACAGAGGACTCAGCTCACGATCTCTAGAGATTTGTAATCACCGTCTTGTGACACTGTTAAAAAAACAAGGGGGTGCAAGTTTCAGTGTCCTGGCTAAACATGTATTTCAGGCTGTTAACACTTCCCCCTTCTTCAGTTTCCTTTTGAGCTGTAGCTGACAGATACATTACCTCAGGTTCCTTCAGGGTGCAAAGTTAGTGCTTTGCAGTTACAGTAGGAGCGTATTGTGAAGTTGCATTTTCAAAGCAAGAACCAGTGACCAAATTGGCTCCCCCCTGTCTGTTTTTCATGCAACACATCAGCTTTCTTTGGTCAATCAAGCAAGTTACATGACTGATCTAGAACAAAGCCTGAGGACTGAATTCAGTGAGTTGGAATATGACAACTCGGATTGAAAATTGCAACCGTTTTTCCTCCCAGCTAACAAAGATGTGTGATCAATATGCACGTCTAAAACCTTGCTTGCTTGCTCACTGCACTTTGTTCTATTACAGGAGCACAAGCCCATGATAAGAAAACTGCGTAACAAAGCCCAGTCGTACGATATTAAAGCCTGGAAGACTCGCTGTAAAGAGTTGCTAGACCTCATCTTTCAATGTGAAGATTCTGAGCCATTTCGGCAGCCTGTTGACCTGCAAGAGTATCCGGTAAGAACACAGAGCACGGCTTTAAAATTAGTAACATTATCAATGTAGTGGTAACCAAGCATTGCTAAAACTCACGATTCTTTTCCTCATTTGTGTTTGATTTGATGCTGAAAATGGATGGTATCAGGTCTTCCTTATCCTTAGCTCCCAATCAGAGCAGCTGTAACCAGTCAGTCTGTTGATTCCTATTTGAGGACATCACTACAGAAATTCCTAGTTTCACATTTACTAGATTTCGCTCTTTTATGGATGCAGCACTCTCATAAAAGTAGAAACCGCAATTGTTTGTCTTTTTACTCCCCTCATATTTGGAGTTGGGCCTATTGGCTGTAATCCTCCTTCAGAAAGATGAGAACCGAGCATGCCTCCCTGTGGAAGATGAACTTATCCATCATTGTTCACTCTTCCAGTCTCACAGTGTGCATGAAGAGTTCTGAGAAAGAGCATTTACTGGCGCAGTTACCAGAAAACCTTTCGTAAGGTTTCAGAAACTACATCTCTAAATGTATTATATGCTTTCTTATGTATATCCCACATTTCATTAGAGAATAACAGTTCCTGTTTTTCCCCCATTTAAGCATACTGCTATGTCCCTGCCTTACTGTGTTATTGTTCGTGATAGTTGACGGGAATAAGAACATTTGCAAAGCATTGACGTGTTTGTGTAAGAGGAGGTTTTTCTCTGAAGATAGTGGGAAGACGTTTTTAATGACATATTTAATTAGCATGCTTTATTCACTACAGACATCCATTGAAAACAAATCCTATTTTGCAATGACGACCTGGAGTACCCATTTATACTGCCATGCATTTAGAGAAGGACCTCCGAATGCAGTACCTGGTTCAAGGATGCAAGGCAGACTTGTCTGGGATTTGAAACCTTTACCCTCTGATCAGGAGTCTAGTTGTCTAAGTTCTTTCTTGATCAAAGAAAGTGAAAGAGACTGTACTAAAAGACTCTTATAATGAGCACAGTCTTTGTTTAACATATGACAAAAATACATTGAGTTTTCCTGTAGGCTGATTTTACATGTGTTTGTCCAGGTATATGAATTCAGCTTTCATAACATCTGTGGAGCACATGAATCTATGATGTAATTATTTCCATTTTATATGTGAATAGCATTTTGTGAATTGCAGTGCCAATGAAATGGCATTGTTCTGCTTTTTCAGTAGAACCCATTCTAAATTAACCGCTCTGTGTCTACTGTATGTAAAAATGTTGGTGGCTGTTCTGGATTAATGTGAAACGGTATAATGGAATAATACAAAATTAGGTTGTAATCTTTAGGTTGCACTGTATTACATGCTTTCATGGATTAATCAAACACTAAACAGCCTTGTACACTTTCAGGATTACAGAGACATCATCGATACTCCAATGGATTTCGGCACAGTGCTGAACACTCTTCAGGCTGGAGACTATGAGTCACCAACAGAGCTGTGCAAGGATGTCAGGCTAATATTCAGCAACTCCAAGGCTTACACGCCTAGCAAGAAGTCAAGGGTATTAAAAATTACTGTAGTGGAAAGTTTATAACTGCCTGATTTTTTCATTTTACCGATAATGTCTTTTTGTCCTGTGTAATATAGTGATGCAGAGGCATGACCACCTCTATTGTATGCAGGAGTATATAATTAATTTAAAAGAAAAAATGTTAACAATGAAGAACAGAAATGTAAAACATCTTTAACTATAGGGCTTTAGTTCTGTAAGGGATTATTTTGGGTACACAAGGATGTCATCCAGAGTAATTACAATCTGAGAAAATCTTTAAAAGGAAGTTAATTAAAATATGAGCCACTAACAGTAAATACACAGTGTACAGAGTACAGATCTCCTTCAAATATAGATAGTGGCAGATCAAGACTGACAGTTATGTTAACGGTCCTTTCCTTGTAGATTTACAGTATGAGTCTGCGGCTGTCAGCTCTGTTTGAGGAACACGTCAGCGCTATCCTGTCCGACTACAAGTCAGCCCATCGCTTTCATTCAGCCAACAAACTGAGCAGCCAAAGGAAGAGGAGGCGGAGAAGTACATCGCCATCTAGCAGCGCTGCATCAAGGTTAGTCCGGCAGCCACGGGCTTGTCCAGCACAGCCGCAAGAACATTTCCTAGTTCAGGAACATAACGTCCAGGGGCAAAGCAAGTGGCCATGCCTGTCCTTTGGCTTCATATAACACTGGGACTTGTGAATTAAAGGCAGATAAATCATAGGAACAGCGAGCTGACAGGAGTGCAACATAATTCCGTCCCGTATCAATGTGCTCCTTAACTGTGTTTAAGGTGAGACATCTTCATAATTTATATTTTGAAGTTAATTCATAATTAACATACTTTATTTTTGACATATTTACATCTTCATAGTTTATATTTACTATGACTTTACAGAATAGTTTTAGGGATAATGAGGAGCACGGTGTTCAAACAGCCCTCTATTATTAATCTATATATACATAGGACTACATAGGATCATATCATTGCTTACTTTCTAGCAATCTTCTAAAAGTAATGTATGATTAAGGTTAGAAATTTGAATATTACCCTTAAAACATGATTAAAAATCATTATAATAATTAGAACAACATCAGACCAAATCAGCTGCAGCACAACATTCACGTAAGATACCTCTGTTGAATATACTTTACATATTACTAATTTTTATGAAGACAAGTGGGTTGGAGAAATGCAGCTGACAGCATTTTTTTTTTTCCTCAGAGTTTCTCCAAGCTCTCTAGGGCTGTAAGAAATGCCAAAGGTGTATTACTGGAAGAATCTCTTCATAATGACTTCCTAGAGATAGTAGTAATTTGTTAAGCAAATAGCAACTTGTAGCTTGTAATTAAATCCCCAGGGGGCACTTATTTCTCTTGGAAAGACAAACTATTGCACCCTGGTTTGTGAGTGCTAAAATTCCTATTTTTGACCATGATAGATTAGAATTCCAAACATTTCAGCCGTTGGGTCTGACTGTTTTTTTTTAATTTGGGATTGGCAAGATGAGGATGCCCAGGCTGACTAACAGCAATGGCACTTGACAGCTAGATACCATCCTCCTGGGGAGTCTTGACTAGATCAAGCAGTAAGAGCTCCTTCAAGGCCCTTTTTTAGTTGGTCACCCTGGGGGAGTGTTATATTTGTACCCAGTCTTTTATTAAGATGTTTGATTATGGGCACATGACTGCCACACACTTAATTCTTGACATAGTGTAGGCTCCCCATAGCCGAAACAGAGGGTTGATGAAAACTTGTGATCTGGTCTGTTTTTCTGAAAAGCTCTGGTTAACTGAACTTCGTCTGTAACAATGATTGATTAAAGAAACGATGGTCAATCATCTGGTTTAATCTTGAACAGCCATCCATTTTCTAAGTGCTTTATAATATCACTTTATTAGCCGTATACAATTTCTTGCATTAGGAATTTGTCTTTCCGCATACCCCAGGTTGCTCTCCGTGAGACACACAGGCACACAGACAGGGAGAGAGAAGCTTGGGGTCAGAGCGCAGTGTAAGACATTTATAACCTGTCCCTGGAGCAGCTGGTGTTAAGGGCCTTGCTCAGGGGCCCAACGGAGTAAGATTCCTCTGTCAGCTGCGGGATTTGAACTGGCAACCTTATTCTTATCCAGTACAGGGTTGTGGAGGGGGGGCCGGGCCTATCCTGCAGTGCGATGGGCACAAAACAGGACACACCCTGGATGAGTGCGTGTCCATTACAGGGCACACACAGACACAAACAAGCACACATGCACACAAGGGCCAATTTTCCCAGAAGCCGATTAAACTACCAGTATGTCTTTAAACTGTGGGAGGAAAGCAGAGCACCCGAAGAAAACCCATGCTAACATAGGGAAAACAAACAAACTCCACCCAGAAATTGAACCCACAGTTCCGGTGCTGTGGGGCAACAGTGCTCACCACTGTGCCACAGTGCCGCCCAATCTTGAACATATCTTGCATACAATTATAACTTAACATCACTTTATTAGCCCTATACAGTTTCTTGCATTAGGAATTCATCTTTTCGCATACTCCAGCTTGCTCTCCATGAGACACAGACACACAGACAGGGATAGAAGCTTTGGGTCAGAGTGCAGGGTCAGCCATTCTACAGTGGTTAAGGGGTTAAGGGCCTTGCTCAGCGGCCCAATAGAGTAGGATTCCTCTGCCGGCTGCAGGATTTGAACCGGCAGCTTTCCAGCCACAGGTACAGATCCTTAGCCGCAGAGCCACCGCTCATGGGTGGGTATATTTGAATAGAAAACAATAATAACAATAATACAAAAATAGACTAAATGGTCAGTCAAAAAAAGGTGAAAGCCTTTAAATCTTTAAAGGTCGATATGTTTGTGCATTTCATTGATTAAAATTTGACTCTAAAGAACACAGTGTTAGGAAACCAATCTCTTGAATGGGTTGGTGTCTTATTTCTCAATGAAACGAATCGCCTTTTCTCTTAAAACTCCCTGCTAGTCTGAGGCAAATTGCTCCGTAAAGCTGCTGGTATTGTTTGTAATGATTAATGAGATCCGCCTCGAGAGTGGACTGCAGTGAAGTGCTGGGTTCTGTCTCCCTCTAGCCCCGAGCGGAAACGCCGGTCAGTCAAAGCTCCGTTGAAACCAGAGCCCTGTGCCGTGTCTCCCTCCCCGGGCCCCTCCCGGCCTGCCACCCTCAGACAGACGGTTCCTCATGTCAATGGGAGGGCTGTGGATTCCCCGGCTGTGGTCCGGACCAGGAGCACCACGCGGTTTGGAAACCATTCTGGCGTAGAGCCTCCGTCAACTTCAAGCGGGGCCAAATCGGCCAGTCCATCCCTCCCTGCCAACAGGAAACCAGGTGGGGAGATCAAAGAAATCCTGTTTATTTCTCGAAGCTCTGAATGACACGGGGAAAAAAAACACAATTTTCATTTGTTTTTTAAAAACCCAGATCTGGTGGGCCTTGTGGTCCTGTAAGAATCTTAGTAAGAATCTTGGCTGCTTGAATGTCCATTTCTTAGCAAACTGTGCAGTATATTTGGTACCCAGAGTGCAGTCCTCTCTGAACAGTACAGCATGTGAAGTCTTAAGGTAAGCCACGCGTCTGGGCTGCAAATGTGTCCAGTTCTTGCAGGCTTGGCCTTTCAGTCTTTGAAGGAGCCTGACATAAAGAACCAGACCATCAATTTCCTTTGGACTCGGAGGGGAACATAATACTTTGGTTGCGGTGATTTCTTGTAGACCACTGTGAGTTTGCTTTTTGTTTTTGTCATCTTGAGTATTCAAAAGGCGTTCCGGTTTTCTTTCTTTCAAGTGACTGAAAGTCCCAGCAGGCACCTTAAAGTCCACAACTCTGCATCCACTCCAAGTTTCTCCAGTGACACAGACAATGGCAGGAGCTCCTCTGTGGCAGAGACTTCTGGGAAGAAAAAGGTGAAACGGAAACAGAAGTCATCTGTGGAACACCAGCCGGGTAAGGCGGAGATCGGTTGAGCTTTTCACACAACTATGATTACTCAGGGTAATGAGTAAGACTGGAATATTACAACTATGTTAGCAGACCTGTTCATAAGAATTAAGTTTTTATTTATTATTATTATTATTATTTTTATGCCACTACTTCAAAGTGGTAGGGGATGGTATAGGTTTTATAACTTAGACATTGTTAAGCAAGAAAATGTAGGCTAACATAACACTGAAAGTAAGCAGTATTATGAATCTGGATTACAAATTTGAGGAGTTTTGGGATAGTCCAAGATAGGAAAGATTTTTTGGAATTACTTGTTGCATTGAGGACATCTTCAATGGGAATGAAAAGTACTGTACCAAGTACCAAATAAAAAGAGTTGGACTGAATGATTTGTTTTCCTCTAACCATTCTCATACACTATGTGCTTTGTTGCTTTCAAGGATAAAGACTTGAAACGTGTGATAAAAGCATTTTTTTTCTTTTATAGGCATTGATCATTGCCAAACCTTTATTCACGAGACTAAAGTGAGACTCACTTTCCCCACTGTTTTTTTTACACATTGGCATCTCAAAACAAAACCAGTAGGGGGCGTAATTAATACAAATTTAACTGTTCACTAGTGCCTGTTAACATAGGCAGTACAGGTTCTATGTTAATTCACATACAAATAAGCCATTCTTGTGGTTTTATATACATATTTACTTGATATGGTGTCTGTCTTCTTTGTGTTGGTGCTGTACCTAGCAGGTGAGAATGACATGCCTCCTTGCAATTTTCCAGTATTATTATTGCCTAGTCCAATAAATGGTCGGTTTTCTTAAACTTCCCAGTGTAGAAGTACAACAGTTCCACATTACAGGTTTTATGTCCTTTAACTCTTGTATTTCAGAGTTATTTTATTGTCCTATGAACATTGTAAGAACAGCACTTGGCGCAGGCAATGATATTGTCTATACATATTATCTATCAAGCTTTTGTAAATTATAGATTAGTGCCTCTGAATCTTCTCATCTTATATACTGAAGTGTTGTTTTTTGATTTAGGTGGTTTTTGCGTTTAAGACTGTGCTAATTACAGCAGGTAATTTTGCCAGCAGTCTTGGTGCTTCTCAGCTGAAACGCTTGGTTCCTTTCTTCCTTGCAGTGAATTCCGAGCTCAGCTCTGAGCCCCAGAACAGCATGCAGCTGAATGGACACGGTGGGCATATACCAAACTACGTGGCAAAGAGGGGTCGAAAACCCAAGTCGGAGGCCATGGCGAGGGTCGAAAACACTGCGAAGGAAGAGCCTTTTGTAAAGCCAGAGAGCCTTGCAAAGCCGCCAGGCAAGAAGCGAGGACGGAAAAGTAAAAAGGAGCTGGAGGCCATGCGGGAGAGCGAGCTGTGGGACACGGCAGAGGAGGCCGAGGAGGAGAGGGACCAGTGCGCCAGTGATGAGGCCGGCACCTCTTCCTCTGTCGCCGCGGTTACAGACACTGCCGCAGACTCGGACCTGGCCCAGCCAATCAAGTCTCGCAGGGGCAGGAAACCCAAAGGACAGAAAAAGATGGAGGACCTCCCGCCTGAACCCTCTACTGTGAGTCCAAAGATGCAGACAAGAAGTAGCAGGAGACAGAGCGAGAGTCTCCATGAGCCTCCACCGCAGCTTGACGGGGAATTTGAAGAGGAAGAGGAGGACAGAGGCTCCAAGTCTCCCATGAAGACTAGGAACCAGGGCCGCAGGACAGCTTTCTACAACGAGGACGACTCTGAAGAAGAGCAGAGGCAGCTGCTCTTTGAAGACGCCTCCCTGACTTTTGGGACGTCCAGTAAAGGGAGAGTTCGAAAACTGACTGAAAAGGCAAAAGCAAATCTGATAGGCTGGTAAAAAGAAGAAAAAACACAGCTTTTGCTTTGTGATATCCAGGTAAAGATAAAGCTACAGCACTTGAGGACACTGCAAATCTTGCTGCTAATTTTGTACGTTCATTTGTGAACCTACCTACGTTGGGACCAAAACTGGGTGCTTTTTGCCCACACTTTGATAGTGAACATATTCCTCTTTATGGTAATTATATTAACTATTATTGTTTAGCCTTTGAACACAATAATACTGAAAACCCAGATTTTATAACGTACACAAAGCTTTTTGGTAGTGGGATGATTGTGGATTTCTGTGGCCTGACTTCAGTTGTGAGACCATTTATTATAATGTAAATTGCACATGCAAAATCCTACATTTCTGCTGCCTGAATGAAATACACATGTGGGTCTTCTACAGGTAACACTATTAGCATGTCATAATCAAAAGGACCAAAAAAACAAAAACAATAAAGAGACCCATTCCAAGCTTGTTCCTAGAATTCTTTATGTAAAAGCTTAGATCCTCTTTTAACCTTGTTTGAAATGGATGAAAAGGTATTGCATTACTCCAGAGAGTTTAAAGGAATCATGTTGTGGGAATATGATTTTTGTTTCTACAACAATTACCTGTGAACTCTGTTCAATATCACGCCATTCAATGTGTTTCTTTGCCTGGATAACAGGCCTAAATGTGTTTTATCATCATTTTAATGCCAATGTGGTCTAAATTCTGTACTTGATAAAGAGGATCTAGTGCTTCTGCATAAAGACAGACATTGCTTTCCTCGGATCTTTGGCTACAAGAAGAAAGATGCAGGCTGCAAGACAATAATAGAACATTAGGTTTGGTTTTAGTTGACTGAATAAAAATGTCATTGTTTGCAGCCAATAGCTTTCTGACAGTCTTGGTAAGATTTAGACCTGCACATTTTTTTCATTGTACATATATTGCATGCTTCCACACTTCCATGTAGATAGTTTGAAAGAGCATTGTCTTTCTGTCAAGAGGTCAGCTGATCAGCACGATCAATGAGATTGTAGGGAAAGTAATTTTTACCATGAAAAGAGTGGAGAAAGGCAAGACTCGGGCAGATGTCCCAATCAGCTTTAGTCTGCTGTCTCTTAGAATTACAATAAAGAGAGCTGAAATACAGGGGTTGAAAATGGGAAAGATTTTAAACTATTTAAAAATATTCCTGCTTCCATTGTCACCTTCAATGGGTTGGGTTTGAGAAGGAGGGCAGGGAGTGGTTAATTAACAAGTAGAGGTTAATTCTGCAGCAAAAAGCAGAAATAAAGAAGAAAACAAAATCCAGATTTTCAGCTGTGGAGCCTTCACACATTTGAAGAAGGCTCTAAAGCTGATATGTGTCATTTTCTTCTTTCTAGCCTTCAGCATGGAATTAACTTCTGCTTCATCAGAATGGGCTGCAAATGAAGTTTCTTTTTTAACTTAAACCAAAAAAAACTAAGACCCAACTATATCTACACTAGCCACTTCATAATCTAAAATTAATCGAAGGCTAAAAGATGTTACACCATTGTGTTAACTTCACAATCAGTCCTTGTGAGCAAATGAATAGTAAGAGCTCTTTTTCCGAGATGGAGATTGAATGCTGGATTATATCACACATTCATGGGGGCTGACTTGATGAGCACTTTCTCTGAAAACTGCACATCTTTAACGTTTTGGATTATCAGTCATATCTGCCTTTCCTCAGGCTCTCTTAGGACAACAATTGGCCTCAAGGTTCATCATTCAAGATGTTTTTTCCTCATCTATACAAACTCAATGGATAGACTCCAATAATGTGGAATTCATATTTTAAGTGTCTGTGCCAAATGTACGACTGTTAAAATGTATTATGTTTAATAATACTAATCTTAAATTACAAGAAGAAAATACCTCACTTGCAGTACTAAGAAACAGAAATATGAAGAGAAGACCATGTTTCAAACTACATGGATTATAGTTTTCAGTAGTAGTTTTATTAGATGACTTTATTCTGATGTTGAGGAAGAGTATTCTCATACTGAAAGATTTTCACCTTGGTGGGAGAATATCGTTGTGGTCATTCAACGTTCTGAAAGAGCTGATTACAGTAAGTAGGGAACAAATGGACTGTAGTCTAAAAACAAATTTCAGAACTACCTACAATCCGGTCATCAAAAATAGCAATAAGTCGTGCCTTTATACAGATTTAACATTTACTGTATCTAATTGGAATTACAACAATGATACTACATGTTTTCTTAATTACATTTTTGGGATTCAGAATCCAGTGACATAGATCTCCTTTGGTCTTAGGAACAAAGATATTACCAAACCACATATGTATCTCATGACTTTTTTCTCCAACAAAAATGTGAGTTTTATAAATGTGTGTGAGCTGCAATTATCCAATTACCCAATTCTGAAATCTGGTTCAAATTAATCACAGTACAGTTCATTACAAGAAACATCTAATGCTGAAGATGAAAGTTTTTTTTTTATTCTGGTACCAAACACTTATTTTTAGGATGCTTGGGTTTATGAAGCAGTGTTGGATATTTTGGGCTGTTTTTTTTTACTAAATTTACCTAGAATTAAGTGTTTATGTCTTTTCAGTAGTATTTTTAAAAATACTGAGCAAGAAAAGAAACTCATCAATTAAAACAGAAACAATTTGGAAAAGGTTATTGGGGAAAATGACATTTTGTATGGAAGCAGTTGCAGAGAAATTTAATCAAACAGATGTGATAACAGCAAATTCATTATACTGATTTGTCATCAGGGTTGGTCAATGCAATCTACTGTGAAAGTCGCAGGTTATCACCATGTGTGGCCACTGTTGGAGACAAAACAAGGTGTGCATATGTGACATGCTTTGCAACAGGTGGCAGATTCTGTGTTAGGTGGTTCTGTCTCATTTCTCTTGTTCAGCCTGGACAAGCATGTGCCTGTGCGCTAGTCTTTTAGAAACCACATGTTGTCCCAGCACATACTCACATCCTCATCTCACAGGGCCGCCATTGTCACAGGAGCACCATGAGGACGTGGGTTGTCCTGTAGGAATGTTGTCACATTGAGATGAGCCAGGTTGCCTTCAGTTACTACAGGTTGAGTTCTGTAGCAACTACATACTTCTAAACAGACCATCACAAACCTTGAATGGTCCGTTACATTGCGTCCACTTTGAATGGTCCACCAATTTAAGTTAATGTGTCCTTCTTCATATCTGCACCACACCAGTGGAAATCCATCACAAACTCTTGATTATTTTTACTGATCACTTGGCTGCAATGCTGACAAGTCCAACTGATTTGATATAGTCTAGCTTTCAGCATCTCAATGTTGGGTGTTGGTTCTGTTGATGAGCAGGACATGTGGGTTCCTTTCTGAGTTTTTCTTGCTTTCTCACCAGGCTGGACATTCAGCAAAGTCATCACCAGATCCCAGTCAGCTCTGTCACGAATGTGGCGATTTTAGTGCTAGAGCAGAAGTCGGTCACTTGCTCAAACAGCCATCTCGCTCAGCAGACTGCACTTGCAGACATCATGGTCGGTTATGAGTGAACTGTAAATTAACATTCAAGTCAGTATACAAAAAATCTGTATATTTTAAGTTTTCAGAACATGCGTAGTGTTAATAGAGAAGAAATTTATTTTGATTTTCTTTATAGCCATAACTACACATCGCTATCATTACAGCTACTAACAATTATGGCTTTGACAAAACCATAAAGGCTAAAGGCTTGCTTTAGAAAATATTTTTTAAAACATAAACAGTTTTTTTCTGACAGTGATATGTAATTCTTTTGTTTAGAAAATGTTGGAGAACAACAGTTTGACACTGCTACCTACTGTATAGAAACTGCCTTTGGAAAGTTATTTTTCATTCGTTATGTTACTTCTGACTTAAAAAATCAAGGCCAGCATTTGCACCTAAGCACCTTGTCATTTAACTGTGTGCCGTTGTAGTGTGACGATTGTTCTACAGGTATGTTTGTACTTCCATGTGTGATAGTGTAAAAACGTGCAAAACATATCACAGAACAAAAGTGTTGTGTCTACCTGTGCACAACAAAAACTACAGAAGACAATACTATTGGGCCATCTTAAGGAAAATAATGTATTAATCTGAATTCTGGGAACTAATGTTTTCAGCAAAGATGATTTTATTGCTGTGCTTTGTGTTTCTTGATTGTGTTAATGTTAATATAGTTTAACCTTTGGAAAAACAATAAATTGATAGTTGAGTCTAATAGCAAAAGAGAGGAACACCAACCTCCCAAACTACAATTTTGTGGAAGTTCAAATTGAGCTTTTTTGTAAAAAATGATTCTTGTCTGTTTTCACATGAGCTTCATTGTGTGCGTCTGCAATGTTCCCTGCCTAAATATTTCAGTGACTTCAGTTGATCTCATGGCTGTGTGAGCTGGGAACTTTCTGGGATTTTGGCATTTTGGATATTTTCTGGGTTTTTGATTTATATTAAGCAAGCAGGTTTGAAACTCTCATCCACACCTGTTTTTTTTAATAACTTGAGGTAGGAAGTGTTGTGGAAACTAAGACACCTTTAGTCGGTGTGTTTCTGATGCCAGCACACTATCAGTAATGTTTAAGATGGGCTTGACACCATTATGAGGTGAAACATCTGCGATTGGACACTTTTCTGCACTTATGAAACTACTTAATTGTGACAGCTGATAGGCCACTCAAGGTGTGGTGAGAAACTTTGCAACACTATATAGCAGAATACACCAAATCTAGAGGATGATTTGTCTTGTTCTGGGCTAGAATCTGTATATGGGAAAGAATGGACACCTGATGTAAATAAGATGCCAAGATGAGAATGAAACCACACATAGGAAATGAAAGTGCTTATCTTGAACATTGCTGACACAATGAACTCTGTGCTACAGAAGGGGCTCATACAGTAGCTGTCCTTCACGTGCAGCTGAGGACTCCTGGTGCTCCTCAAGACCTAATGCAAGAATGAGCTCACAGCAAAATAAAAGGTTGATTTTGATGTGGAGTGTGCAGGTGCTGCAATTGTAGTAGACAAAAAAGTGAGAATGCTTGAACTGACATCTTAAAAATGTATTCAGGAAGGATTTTCCCCTTAAACTTTGTTGAAGGGTTATGGAATCGGAACTTGTTTATTAGAATGCAATTAATTACAATACAAAAAATGTGTTATGCATCGCTTTGCATGGGGTTAAACCATATATTAATTACATTGAGACATTCAAGGAAAATCCTGTGTTGAAAAGTTAGATCCCTAGCAGCAGTGTAGCAGTATATTAGGCTTTACAGTAACTATGATAAATCCAGTATGTGGAGATGGTGGAATCTGTATTCTCGGCCAGATAAAAGAGGCCTGCTGGAAGTGGCTTTTCCTGGAAACCACTGGTTTGTCGATAATGTTTCCAGTACCCGCATAATCCCTTTCTTCCTTGAGCCGAGGCTTTCTTTGAAACCTGCGGAATCGGTAGAAAACATTTTCCAGCTTTGAAGTAGAGCCTCGACTGGGAATTCAAAACACTTTGTTGGACAACTTTAGACTTGCGAGCACTGGCATTTTGACTTCATTGACAGTGCTCCGCGTCCCGCCTTTACCGCTGAAACGTGACTTATGCATTGGAGCGCTGGTCACATGATGACAAGCGCGGCAATCGGCATGACATCATTATTCTCATACAAATCCATCTCTGCACCAGGCCTTACAGCCTTCACCTTCACAGATAATGAACCAGGAGATTATCCTCCTGCGCCATGTGATGGGACTTATTGTCTATGCAGAATGCGAGGAAGTGTCTCGAGACATTTTCCCACAAAGCAGAAAATCTTTTAGGGCTCTTGGTAAATTCAGAGTGATTTCACAAAGCATGAGATGTATATGGTGGGGGGGGGGGTTGCTTTTTGATCCAGTACATAAAGTGAGAATGAACCGTCACTCTCCAGAATCATGTTGAAATCCGGAGGTCAAATGTATATTTGATCAGTGGATTTCAAGAAGTGACAGCTGGTTTTGGGGAAGTGGATTAAAGAGAAAACAGTCCGAGGGCTGAGGGGGAGAAACGGCTGATTACCTGCAAAGGTAACCAATCAGATGTACTATATTCTGTACACATTTTTAGCCCCTGTGCTTAAGTACTCTTAACGTAATGTGACTGGTTACATTGTGAAGCTGCCTTTGTTCTTGCTAAAGAACTCTGGACATAAAATCTCTGCAGTACATTCAAGAGCAACAGATGACCTATGCGTTTTTTTATCCTGTATCTGATAGATCCAGCTCATTTGCTAAAGATGAAAATAAACGAATCCGCCTTCCACAATGTTTGTTAACGGTGATATATCATTGATGTTTTTTTTTGCCAAAGACTAAGATTCAGAGCAGTTGACCTCAAGTACATCTGTGTGCCTGGAATTCAGTTGCCAGTGGTTTCGTGCAGTACCTTCTAATATCGGAGTCAGTTGAGTATCCTGAGCGACAAAGGCGAATAGATTGCACTGACATAAAGTGTGTACATCCTGTAGAAACAAACTTAAGACTTTTTTTTCTTTTGAGACAAAAAAAAATTCGACTGAATTGCTGGAATGGGGTTTGGATTTTATAAATGGTCATACATACAGTTGTGTTGTTGTATTCATATTTATATAGCAGATTTATTCAGTACTTGTGAAATCTTAAAGGTACAATGAAATGACCTGCAAATGTGTTTGTATGTGTATAGCCATATATGCACTTACAATGTCTGAAGTTCTTACAGCGTTTAAATCTTAGCAAAAGATGTATGTTAAATTATCTCCTGTATTTTGTTTTGTAAATTCTCACTGTTTTTAAGAATTATTTCCATTGTTGTCAAAAGTGGCCAAATCACTTTTATATGCAATCATGTTTCATTGAACATTGCATGTTCTTTATCTGCACTTTTCCTGGCACGTGTCTATTGCTGACACAGAACTATTCCCAGAAAAATTCTGTTTAATGATTGTGCCTTGTACACTTTTGTACTTTTTCCTTATGTCTACAAAATGTAGACAAGGTTATTCAAGGGATGATTAATTCTAAAGAGCCTTTAAAGAGTTCATTGCCACTGAAGGTTTGTTTCTTCAAAGCATTTCTCTAAGAAGGAGTGTGTGACTTTTTGCTTTACAGAATAGGCTGTCTCAGTGTAGAAGGGTATTTTTTTAATAAGATGGATGCAGCATGGACATTTTCTTTAACACTGTAATGTATACATGCTCAATTTAATACTGACTTCTTTTGAATGTCTTAAAAGTAACCATACATAATTTATTTAAAAACAAATTCTTGATACAGGTTCTGTTTACCCAAATCCTTTTTTTTCTTTCGTGGAACACTGGAAACCATTTTTATTAAAACACGGTACATCTTTTTAAATTAAGTGAAGTTATAGGAAAATATGAAATGTTCTGTAAAATAAGTGACAAACTTTATTATGCCTGTTACCTTTTATTAATTAATCCAATGTTTGACATATCTTGTCATTGTAAATTTAAATATAGATATATTGGTGTATTAAACTGGCCTGAAATAGTATTTTTATACTATCCTGTGCTTATACTTGTATGAGAAATTTTAATTTTTTTGATTTAAAGAAACAAGAGACGGACTGCTTGTTATCCCATTGCATTTAAGAGTTGTACTATACTGTGTATGTAACTTTTCTTTTGAAACACAGATTTGTGCTTGTGACCTGTAAAAATTGGAATGAAGGTTTGGGTGGAAAATCAGTGAAGCTACATCAACTTCAAGTTTCCAATGTCATACTGTACTAGAGTGAAAAGCAAATATGAATACGACCAGTACAGCCAGGATATTACAAAAGATGAGGACCTGCTAAATGCTTGCAGCATGAAGTTGTCCCTGAACTTAATAGTGTTCAGTGAACTCTTTCTTACTAGCTGTTCAGACGATTATTTGACCTACTGGTGGTAGTGGGGTGGGTGGGACTTTCTATGTTAGTTTGGATACTTTTATATAAAAGATAAAGGCAAAAAACACAAAAACTTAGAATGTATGTGTAGGGAGTACTGCTGTTATATTAGTACATACTGATATTTTTAAAATAAACAGTTGTGTTTTCTTACTTGCCTCTTGTTACACTTTCTTGTGCTTAGTTTCATTGGCTGTGACTTAGGTTTGAAATTTTGCATGAATGTTTCTTGCTGTCCAGTTAGATTTTAAGGGGTCCCAGGACAATAATTCAAATCCAGACTTTGCAATTAAAAAGACGGAAATGCAAAGTTGACATTACATTGGTCGCACTTGGTATAGTGCAATGCAAGGTTCGTTTGACCTTCAAGAACAAATGTGAAATATGTTTGTACTTTGTATGGCATTTGTATTTAAAACAGGTGGGTGGAAAACTTTTTTTAAACCAGGGAACAAGTAAAGGTTTATTCCATGCTGAAAAAAGAAGAAAACTTTACGGCTGTGGAGCCTTCTTCAGCTCCACTCCACACCCGAAGGAGGCTCCACAGCCGTAAAGTTTTCTTCTTTTTTCAGCATGGAATAAACCTTTACTTGTTCCTTTGCAGCCTATGCATGCTGTTGGCAGCTACCTTTTTAAAGCTAGATAACCTTGACCTTTTAATTTGTCCATTTTCTAACCTCTTCTTCCAATTCAATGTGAAGGGGGAGCTGGAGCCTATCCCAACAAGCAACGGGCACAAGCCAGCAGGGTCCACCCTGGACAGCACACCAGCCCAGTGCAGGACAGACACCAGGGCCAATTTTCCCAGAAGCCTGTTGACCTACCAGTATGTCTTTAGACTGTCCTGCCATGCAAACAAGGAGATAGAAGACAAACTCTAGGCAGATAGCACCCGAGGAACTGAACCCAGGGCAATGATAACCACTACACCACCATGCTGCTCCAATTTGTCCATTCCCAATATAAAAATCCAGCAATTCTTAACAGGCAAACGTATTGATGCAATATTATGGTATCAGTGATGTGTGCTGATCAGAGATCATGAATATGACAGATCGATGTACCAACAACTGATGTACCACTGTGTGCAGTACACCTCTCAGAGCAATAAAGATATTAGATATCAGCATTATACAACTTTACAATTCAATGCGAAAGGTATTTCAAATGGTAACTCGAGATGATCATGCTCTAACCCCAACCTGTGCAACATTTTGTGGAAAAACAAGTGTTACAGAATTTTTAATGCAACTTTTTTTTTTCATTTAACATTTTAAGTCCACCTTTGATTTCCAAGGTAGGTGTTAGACCTTTTATCATGTATTTTCGAGTGAGGAGCTCTATCAGTGTGTGAGCTAAGCAGACATTATTTCTACAGTGAGAGATTAAAACAAAATGTTTTGGCCGTGGCATCATTTGAATCATCTGAGTTCTGAAGAAGACTCCACACACCAGAGGAAGGTGGTGCTGGTCTTTTCAGCATGGTATTAATCTATTCTTATTTCTTTGTAATAGATGTTTGTGGCCTCTGCCTTCTGAATCTGGTCACAAAACAATCAGTAATTAGGGAATGTGAAAAATGGACAAGATGGTTTTCTGCATTTTGTGTTGTCTTTGGCATTGACGTTGAGTTTATCTAGTGTAGTTTCCATCTTTTTGGTTTTAACACACTCAAATATAGATTTAGATCCAAACCAATATCTAGTATATCCCACAGAAAATCAGTTTAAAAAACTATTTAAAAAAAAAAGGTTATTCATTAGCCATGCTTCTGATAATTAAAGCTGAAAATAAAAGACCTAGAATGCTTTCATGGTATTGAATGTACTTTTCTTGGAACATTTCTGAACTTGAAAATGCTTTATTAAGAGTGATCTTTATTAGTAAATTTTTTGCATCCCAATTTTTAAACCCATTATTGTCTGATATTACTGGTTGATGTGTATATATATATATTTACACTAAGATTAAAGATTAAAAAATATTTTAAAAGCAGACTCTGAGTGTTAGAGTTAGAATGTTAGAATTTCTCCTTGTTCACTAGATGACAATACAATTCAATAAACCTTAAAACATACAGTACAGTACTGCCCAGAAATGAATTAAAATTTTAAAAGAAAATCCTGGTCATTTGAATATTAATTGCAAATTAATTATGGAAAATCGTTATTTTGTTACGTGTACTGATAATTTGTTCACCATACAGTCTGTGCAAAGGATCAGCCGCTGTGATAGTAATTATAGGGCCGTTAACAAGTCACATTAATCCACTTCTAGAGGCTAATCTGGCAGTTGGCACATCATTGGTCGTCTGCTTAATTCACCAGTATTTATCAAATATTCTTCTGCTTCGATTTTGAATTCTGAACATCAATGGCCATCTGAAAATAGCTGCGCCAAGTTAACCATGAAAACTACGAACGATGCAAGCAGATCGCACCTCTTTGGGGGGGAATCTTTACTCTCACGCTTCACGGGGAAAGTGAAGAAAATGCTGCCCCCCTGTGTCTGCACGGTGTAATTATGTAAGTTTTTATTTATTTTAGTCAATGAAAGCCATCGTTCCTGACGTGGCGAAGTCAGAGAGGTGCTGTTTCTTTTCGTGTGCATTAGCTATTGGACGCACTCAAATCTGATATTTCGTATTTTTAGTTGCGCAGGTGGCAGACCGAAACTCCGGTTTATGTAAATATAATCAACAGCCTAATGTCACTTGAAAGCTCCGAGCTCACATGACACAGCTGGAGTTAGCAAAGTGTCAACAAGCTGCTTGGAGAGGCTCAGTTAAACAGCACTTGTGGAAGTACCTAAGAGTCCCTATCGGGTCCTGTGCTCAGGACGGTGGGATCTGAGGAGGTATGAAACTCTGATAAGATTAAATGCAGCATTTAAAACTAACTACGGTGTAGTTTTAAAAAAAAATATATATCACAAATTAGTTTCAGTTCCCGTGTCCTAAGCTGGTATCTGGATAAGTTACTAGCAACGACACTAGCGTAATAAAAGTTTAAATAGTACTCGAGCTTGCTCCGGAACTACTGAGCACCTGTTAAAGCGAGTTCATTTGTTTTAATTATCCGTTTGTTTTATTGAGTTAAAACGCCTAGTGCCTGATATTTATTAAGCATTTGCCATGGCTTTTTCGCCAGTTATAAAGGAACATTTACCGTGCTCTTATAGTAAATCTTCCCTCCGGGCTGCAGGTGAAACACGGACTTTGATGTGCCGAAGGAAGTACAATGCCCCAAATCACAGCCGCGGCGGCTATTCAGATCTGTTTGCTGCTGTCTGCTTTACCGGCACAGTACTTAATTTCTCAGTGGACCGGGAATAGTGCTGCTCAGCGAAACCGAGCCACACAGCGGTAGGAGTTTTATAAATACTTGCTCGACAGGTTTAACACTTGATATGCTTTAAGAAAGCCCTTGAAATCGTGGGCTAAACTAATCCAGTGCACCCGCATCTTGTCGGTATAGATTGCAAGCAATTAAAGTTAAATCATAAAACTTTGGACAAATTGATATATTAAGCAAGTTATATCAATGCGCCGTAGCAATATTTTCTTCCTTGTGGGATAGTATAATCTTGTTTTCTGAAAGTACGCAGTTTCGGATAAAAGTGATCAACAAATTGTTTTGAGAAATAAGCAGGCTGCTATGTTCTCTTCATACAGTCTGCTTGGCACATGGAATAACTTCAGGAAGTCTTACTTAAACGTGGGTGAGTGGACGGACTGGTTGAACCGCTGGATTGCTAACCTCGTGTAAGTACCGCAAGAAAAAGTGTTTGATGGACATGCCCTGCACAGCAGTAAAGGAAAATAACCAAACCTGCTGTACCATTTTTCACAATTAGGATATTTGAAAACAGCCTATAAGATGAAATGACACCTTTTTCCATTGAGATGTATATGTTTGTATTATCTCACTTATACTTTTTTGAAACTCCCAGTACTGCTTCATCCCTTTTCTTCCTGTGACCTATAGGCCCATCTCAGACCTGGGGCAGCAGGACCAAGATGGAGAATCTCCAGCACTGGAAGTTCTGTTGTATAGTAACGACCAGGGCTATTTCGGAGGTAATGCTGTCTCTCCAGTGTACACAAGGCTACGAAGCTCTTTAGATTACTGCATACTAGCAATCTGGGAGAGAAAAATGTTCTTTCGATGATTTTCCTGCAATTGCTAAGAATTATCAATCTACAGGGACTACAGGAATGAGATGTTAACCCTTTTTAATAGCCTGATGATCCAGAAGCAGAGCTTTTCACAAATCACATGCACGGCGCTTGCTGCAGCAAAGCCTGAAACCCATCAGCGTCAATTGAGGAAATTGAACCAAGATGTGAATAAATGAAACAGAAATATTTAGTGAGGACTGACTACAGTATATTTGGCCAGAGTGGTTAGAATACCTGAACAGATTGTTTGACATACTCTGCTTGATAACCGCAATATCGCCGAATTATAAAATGCTGCTATTGGGGATGACATGAGAGCGAGATGGGTTGTGATCCTCATAATCCCTATGGTATTGAAAGTTTGGCATATGGTATTGTAGCGTTTTCGAGTTCACACAGGACAAAGGACAAGTGGAGGCGAGATAGCGAAACATGCAACTTCTTTTATTCTCCCATCAAAACCAAAACCAACACAGGATTAACACACACACATAAGGGGACCGACGGAACACGTACACAGGTTTAGAGTGGTAACTCGTTAACAGAAGACTACACACTTACAAAGCTACGCAGGACACTTAAATTAATCTAACACTATTTACATAAGCAGGGTCAGCTGCTGGTCATCATGCTGACCCTCAGACTCCCCTCGGCTACAACTCTTCGCGGTACCCTGAGTGCCTAGGTGCGCTTCCTCCTCACCACCGGGCGAGGGCGCTACAGTATTTATATTCGTCTATGATGCCCATGATTACTCTTAGTGGGCAGGGAACAGGCTACTGAATGAGTGACCACCAAAATTCCAATACACGGCTCTTCCCAGCACTCTGTCCAGCTTAACATGTTTGTTTGTAGATCAGCGTTCATTGTGGGAGAAGGTAGGCCTGTCCGGTGTAACATCCTCAGCTGGAGGTATTGTCAGGGTAACGGGGCTGTTTCTGTGGGGAATCAGATCAATGCAGCAGACTACAGAGGAGCCCTTTGCTCACTCGAGAAAACATTCTGTCACCTGGAAACGAAAAAAATTAAATAAAGTACAACCCAGTCGTCTGTGCCACCATCATGTACTTTGTAAATCTACACGAAGAAAAACGCTCCAATTAACAGGGTGTGGTTCAAATAACCAGACCAAGCTCATCCAGTGACTTAAATTTAATATTTTTCCACTTTATACAGGGCGATAATCATTATTGAAGGGTTCATCTTTTTTTCTCCCCCCCGCAATAAAAGCCTCCACAGAGGTGCGTAGTCCCAGACCTGCAGGTGTCCTCTTCCATGTGGGCGAGGTGGTAATGGACATGGACAACCACATGGTGGGTGTGATTGTGAGCTGGGATGAGCAGCTGAGGGCTCCTCCAGAGTGGGTTAAGAAGATGTACACGGGCACTGAGGTAGGTAGATATCTGCCAGCTTACCGTTGTACACATTGTAGTTGTAGGCCTGAGACTGAGTTCCAAAGTTAGGGAAATATTTAGTCCAGGAAACACACAGAGTCCATCAGATTTCATGCAAAATTCATGGACAGCTTGTGTAAATATGTAACTACTTAAATAGGTAAAGGTTTCTGACTCGTCCTCAGGGTCTGGAATCCTGCAGGTTTTCAATGTTTCAGCTTTATACCTGAATAAGTATGAAAGGCATCTGGTTAAATTATAATTGGGCTATCATATTAATTTTATGCAGTTTTAAGTATACAAGAAAGGTTATAGAGGTCAGGTGGGTCAGGCTCCCCTCATACTTGATTGCTGGTAGCTGACTGATGCAAGGCTCTCACCTAGTCATTTCTTGAAAAAAGCCACAGTATTGGCTTCAACAACATGGCTAAATAGGTTGTTTGAGACTCCAACATTACTTTTTTTTTAAATGTGCCAACTGATCTCAGGAGTGACGTGGTGACTAAAATTGCACACAATATTCTAAACAAAGTTTTACTAGAGCCTGATACAATCCCATTTATTTAAAATCTGTGCTTCTAACTGTATACCCTTATACGGTTTGCCATTTTATTTCTCCTAGACATTGCGTAGAAGGTAAGGATTGTCAATCTTAAATCTCGCTCATAGGTAGCTTCTTTAAGATTAGTGTTTCCCGTTTTAGTTTTATCATTTGTTTTTGTATGTAACATTGTGCACTTATGTACATTGTGAATTGCCAGATATTTTCCCACTCTTGAATTCTTGGTATTTTTCAGTTTCATTTGCTAGCTTCTACAGTGTTTGCCATCATCTGCAAACCTGACAAATTTACTAACTGTGCCAGAGATCTAGATCTCGAGCTCTTGTTTTAAATCGGAAGAGAAGTGATACTGCTTCAGATCCCTGTAGTAAACTGCTAATGATATCACCTGTTTCAGTATTCACCCTGGATTCCTAATCCGTTTTTAATCCAGATCCATGATTTTAAGCCTATAGCCTGTTTCTAATTTATGGGAAGCTTTATTAACACCTTTTGAAATTATGATCAAATATATTTAAATGTTTTGTGTTCATTAGTGCAGTTGCTTGGTCAGATAACTGTGACAAGCTGGTTATTGGCTTTAATGCTACAGAACTTTATTCTGTTATCTTTCTAGCTCCAAAAAGCTGAACAGATTCCACATTACAAAGTTCTCTTTAATGGACCAGGCCCATCATCGGTCTTTGTGGGCTACATTCCTCAGACGTCACTAGAGCGTTTTATAGGCATAAAGGTAAAGTATACGGAGTCCATGTGCACTTAATACACTGTTGGGTTAAGGCATGATTAGGAGGTGTTAGACACCTGTTTTGAATGAAGTTTACAATAAAGGTTTGGGAAGGGTAACAAAGTTCCTGACATCATATTATCAAATTAAAAAAAAATGTAAATACTAAACGTAAGCACATTTCTCTTTTGCCTCCCTCCTGCCCATCTCCACCTCTGCAGCTGCCCCTCACTCTACATTGGGGTCCCGGCCTCCCCGAGCCTGTGGCCAGGGGGTCAGCCCTCAGGCAGGCAGGTTAAGCCAAATTTACTATGACTAAAACACTCAAAACATTTTCAGTACACTTAATTCTTGGCTGTTGTTATTCCTAGTGAAATATTGGTTCTTTTAATTTGATTTCCTGTCACAGTTAGGAAAAAGTATGTAACTGGCAGTGAAGTACAGTACATGTCACTTTAGTAATGCAGGGATCTTGACAGTGATAGCACTGTATTGGTTCAAGTAAGTTTTCATGCCGGTTTTAAATCTCGGCTATAGTTCAGAAATGGAATGTAGTGATTTCCCTGAAACATTTGATTGGATTATAATGAGCTAATTAAAATGCCTCATAATGGGAAGGATATATCAGATGTGAACTAGAGCCTTAATGAAGTAGCACTTTCTAATCCATCAGGGCTTAAGTGCTGTGGTGGGCATTTTCTGGGGTATAGATAATCTATTTAATCAAACAACTTAGTACTGTTTTTTATTTGTGCTGCCTCACTTAAGTGTTGACACAATTAGTTTTTGTAGTTGAACATTGTGTCCCATGTGATTTAATAACGGTCAGAACTGTATCTAGCAAAATCGAATTGCTTTTGGGCAATTTGTACATTTTTGTTGTTGTTGGAAAGGCAGAAGAATACTTAAAAAGGTACTATAACGTAATTCATTTTTTTAAGAATCATCTATAGGGGTTATATTATAATGTGTATGTACAATATATGCACTGAAGGCTGAAGGTACCGAAGGCACACATACAAGTCGCAATACAAGGAAATGTCTTCTATACAACCTTCTGTACAGAAAGGACAGTCCTCCACCGCACAGAAGCCCAGAACCTTGTGAAAGCACCAGGTTTGCTGGTTCACAACTAGTTTATAAAAGACCCCAAAGGACTAAAAGTCTTCTGCTGGGGACTGAATTAACTTTTGTTACAAGAGTAAAACTATCATTTTTTTTGCAGTGTGCAACTAAAAACTCCCTGCTTTCTACTTTTAAATCATCAACTAATGCTTGTGGTACTCATTACAGTTCACTAAATGTTCTATTTGCCACTTCTGGGCACTGCCAACAGATACTGACAGTTGCCTTAATTCCACTCTCATTTCGTAATGTTTCCCTGCAGCAAAGTTTCACAACCATGTTGGTGCTAAAATTTTCATTGGTGGGGTCAATAAAAATAAATGGCTTTGTTATTTAGTACTGCTGTCAAGGAATGTAAAATGCTATTTTTTAAGAGTATTCATGGTATGCAAGTTGAGTGTGAGCCTGGAAATGTTAGACTTCACTCTCTTTTTCCTTGCCTCATTTTGACCTGTTTCTCTTATTTATTTATTTATTTTTGCTAGCCTGACATCCCTACACTGGATCATTATTTCAGTCACTTTGACGGGGAAAGGTTTATAATGAAATCCTGGCTCAGAGACATCTTCCCTCATGACTGAAGAAATGGCAATAACGATTCTGATGCGTTTCTCTCTTGTGTAGCCCATGTGGGTCAAGAATGTTAAAAGATAAATGTCTTTGAAACATATGAAAGACTGACTACTGCAGAGATATGAAATGGGAGTGTGGTGCACTGCTCTGCCATTATGACAATGGAAATGTATCCTTATGGTCTTTTTTGATGTTTTTTTTTTTACTTGGTTTGTATTAACTCATTTTGGTCATGCTTGTAGATTTGTACATTTTGCAATATTAAAAAATCATTAGTGTGTAAAGAAACATCTATTTAGAACTTGAGGTCTGTCAGTATCTTTTATTGATGCCATACAAAGTATTATTTGCAGAAGAGGTACTGTATACACATAGCTTTTGCTATTCCTTTTTAGTTATATTCAGTGTTTTTAGGGAAAACTATGAAAAACCACTCCCAAACACCACAGCCTTGTCCAGTTTTCCTGAACCTTTATCTCTGTTTGAGTTTTGTGCTAGGCATTTTGCCATATATTCAGAGATCTAGCAGGAACGTGATTAATAGCTGTTCCTATGAAGAATGAAATAAATCTTCAAAAACCTTTGTGATGAAACTGAGGGGGCTCATGTGGGGAAACAAACAGGCCACATGCAAGTTCAACAACTGAATGTCCTTGTGAAAAATAAACCTATTTAATTTCAGTGTATACAGACAAAAGATAAGAGGTAATGCAATTGCAGAATACTTTCACCTGCAAAAAATACAAATTTGAAGTCCTCTGGTACATTTCTAAGTTTAAAAAAAAGTTGCATATGTTTTTTTTTTATGATTCCTGGAATTTTATCAAGCAAAAGTCTGAAAAATAAAGCAATACAAAAGTTGGTCACGTTTTTTTCCTTCCCTTTTCTTTTGGTTTGATCTCAAACGAGATGAAAACGCTGGAGGTGACGAAGACTGTGGCGCTGCCGATTCTCTGCTGCCCGGCGTGCTGCTCTGGCTCGGCGGTCTCCTCTGTCTGCCCCTGCCACTCCTTAGTGTCCTCTTCCTTTATCAGCAGGGGCCTGCCCACAGCCTGCCCCACCATGCGGCACACCTCCCTGGCTTTGTGACGGGCGTTCTCCACTGCCACGAGGCACACCTGGCGCCTTTCACGAAACAAGAAAAGGCAACCATGAGGCTTCCTCTTGTCAAAAAAAATTTGAATACCTAATTACGCCTGTATGCCTCATATACTGTACGGGAAATTAAGGCAGATCAGAGTTTCCCCATATTGTTGCCCACCTAGATTATCCACTTATGCTACAACATTAATTAGAGGGTTTTTCAGACCAACTCGGCCATCACTGATTGGGTTTACTTTATGACCTCTAAGGAGAAGAGAATTAGCCATCTATAGGTTAGTGGGTTCAATTCTAAAAATTAGGGCGAATTTATATCAGTTGAACCTGGCACACCTGTTCAGAAGAAAAGAGGGTGACCTACACTTTGTCAAAGGCATCAACAATGGTGAGGGTCATACTGCAAATCCTAAAGCTGATCTCACCCGAGTTTGAAAGAGCGTCTTTCAAAACGAATGCTGCCCAGAGAAATACCACAATATGAGAAGTTCCAGAAAACCTAGAATTCCCTTGTTTTCTCATGATTCAGCACTCAATATATTTAAAAACACTCCAGAAATGAGTTCAGATGCTGAGCACCTGCCTTTTACGTGATGACCATGAAACAGCATTCTTCAATTTAGGAAAACAAAAATTCTGTCCAACACTATTAGTTTGTTTTTTACCTCAGTTTTTCAAGGCTCTCGGTTGTATGGTAGAAGACTGGCGTGCAAACAGTTACAGAGCTGTCAAGCTTTTCCACCAGCAAATTGCTAACATTTTGCATCTTCACAAAATCAGAAAATATAACACAGACCTGCGAATGGAAAAAATGCTTTAGTTACATTTAATGTAAGGGGAAATCATTTATTTTCTTATACGTAACAAGTATACAGCAGCTTTCAAACACTTTAATGTTCACTCCTCTCAAGTACAGTAGGATCCAGGATACAGCTTTCACCCTTGACAGACTGCACGGGCATGCTTTTCCAGGATTGGATTTTACTTCTCACAGTAATGTGCAAAAAGACGTTTCATAAAAGCACAATCCAAATTCTGTAATATAATGATTTGATTTTAAACTGATCTGAGGTGAGTCCTGTACTACTTGTTGCATCTGAGTACTGCGCTTACACCTGATGATTAGGTGACCTTCTATACATTTTTAAAGCAATTTAAAACACATTATAACATGACTATTACAAATGGCTTTGATTTGGAAACCCATTGAAAGGTGCTACACAAAAAAAAACTAAAATAATTTTCCAATATTAAAAAAAGCATAAAAACAAACATAGCACCAAAAATACACATCAGCTGTTTTCAAGTGAAAGTAGCATCAAAATCTAGAATTACCATGTTGAATGATATATTTCAAATACCGTAGATTCATTTTTAGAAATCTGTCACTTCGGAAGTATGTTAAATATACTGCTTCAGTTTGGCAAGCTCAAATCTTTTCTATCAAACAGTTTAATTATCTTTAGATGAATGTAATAAAAGCTTTAAATTATTTCAGTGTCTTGGGCTTAAAACTGATACAAGTAAAGGATTAAATAAGACTTCAATACTGAGAACAAAGGACAGCAACCTTGGTGACATATACCAGTCCCACCACACTACAGAGCAAGTGTCAATGGACTTTCTTTTCCCTGACATTACCATTTAATTAACTATTGAATACTGACGCTAGAACCAGAGTTCCACTAATGAAATCCAGAAGCACAGTTAAATACTCATCGTGAAAACTTTGTTATGGATGGATACATTCTCACTCATTTTCAATAAATGCTTATCCAATTCAGGGCCATGGTGGCCTGGAGCCTATCCCAGGAAGCACACTGGGTACAATGCAGGATACACCCTGGACAGGACACCAGTCCATGGACGGGCAGGCACAGAAACACACACACCCCCACACCAAGGCAAATTGTTTACAGAAGCCAATGAACGTCTCAGTAGGCCTTTGGACTGTAGGAGGACACGAGAGAAGGAAACCCATGCAAACCTGGGGAGAACATACAAACTCCACACAGACAGTACCCCAGGTCCTGAATTGAACCCAGGGCCCCAGTACTGAGAGGCAGCAATGCTGACCACTATGCCACCATACCATCCCGGGTACATTCTCATTTTCCTCAAATTATTTAGAGCTGTGATGTGTAATGTGATGGTTGCCGAAGTCCTCTTCTATTTAAAAAAAATGAGATATCATCGTTCCTAATAAAATGTCTATACATTTTCCAATAAAATAACCCCCTCACCATAGTTGACATACAATGTACCTAAAGCAAGGTTTTAAAATAAAATTTAAAATAATTACCTCAACTTCCATATGGTAAGCATTTTCGACTCTTCTTATATCTTTGGTCACAGTGACATTCTCTTCCTGCAAAATAAAAGTATGAATTAGGGATACAATAATATCCATGTTAAAAGATTCAACCTCTAGCCACTTTTGGAAGAATCGTTATTTTCAAGACGAAACCAGAAAAACAACAACAAAACATTTCAAGTGGATAAGAAAAACAAAGAAACCTTCAGCTAAAGAGAGCTGGATATGAATAAGAAATATTTTAAGTATTTTTTTGTAGTTTAAGTATAATTGTTTTCGCATCACAGGGCTTTTCGAATTAAGACACCTATTAGATATGATACAGGCAAAGATTGGCAAACTCGGCCATGAAAAGGAATAATATTTTAACTGTATCCGAAGGACTCATCGGACTTTCAATACATATTGAAGTAGGTATGATTCCGCAGCCGATTTGCTCATAGTACTGTAACGGGCTGAAAGCATATTTACAGGTGGCAGGCAGCCACCGTTGACTTTGAAAACACTACAGGACTGCATCATCAATCAAGCTTAAAATGCTGCACGCAAGACAACCCCCCAAGCCAGAACCAAAAAATAACACTTTGCAACCTTCACTCCGTGCTGTCTGGTTACTTGCAGGATGTAGTCCAGTCGCCGGGAGACGCTGTTTTTGACGTCTGTGACGGACTCCTTCCTGCTGCTAACCCACAGGTTTAGTCGAGCACGGTCCGGAGGGGCGGAAAGCTCGGCGCTGCCCGTCACCTGAACCTCCCGCCCGGGAATCGGCTGCCGTGGCGTGGGTCGCCTGTCGCCTCGGCCCGATTCGTTTTCATCTCGGTAAATGAAATCGCTGGCCGGCGCGAGGGCTGCAAACACCCGAGACACGCTACCTGCCATTGCTCCAAACGAAGTACGCATCGCTATAGCAACAGCATTGACCTATCACCCCTGTTGGATCACGGGATTTGTCGTTGTAATGCTTGCTTTTACACATCAAATCGTTGCCTGCCCAAACAAAAAAAGACTACAGTTCCCAGAATTCAGAGTGAGGGAAGTTTCTTTCTTTTTTTATTTTTTCAGAGCGAGGGAAGTAGCGAATTAACTTTTAAAATCTGCTTCGGTATATAACAGTTTATAATTTCACTTTACTGCACACATTTGAAACTTATGTAAAACAAGAATCTCTACCAGAAATATACGAACCTTTTACGTCCCAGTATTTCGTCGTTAGTTCATCGTTGATCTGTCAATTTTTTACTAGCATTTGAACTTATGAATTTGACATTTATACTTATAATACAGAATAATAACATTTATTTTGTAAATATGTTGTAAACTTTGTTGCGCAAATAATTTGGAAATGTTAGTCTTTAGCATAAGATTTTCGAATTCACTGCTTAAACCGAGTGTTATAAAGTAGACCGTCCAGTATGTGTCCAATACCTGTTGCATTTCTTAATTTCCCCATTAGAGGGAAGCAGATTTACACAAATAGTTACTCTTGAGGACCATTATTGCCTTTTAAAATATCAACTTCAAATACTGGCCGTCGTCTTCCTAAAACGTCCATACTTCAAAAACACATTTTAGTAGCAAGTGTAAAAAAATAATAATGATAAATAAAAATTAATGGGTGTTTAAATCTCATTTTTAAGACTTTTTAAAAACATTTAGTCAAATTCAATTTGTCCGTTTAGATCGATATTTGCAAAAACAAAAGGGACTCTCATGATGAAAAGCGAATTGATTTGCGCTCCTTAAGATTAAGAAATACTGTAAGTGTAATCCTTAATAATAAAACACTAAAAGTGAACTAATTTGTTTTTATTCAGTTTTTAATACTGATACTCGGTATTACAAATAAGTTTGAGAAAATCATTACAAAGCTAACGATGAAAAGATAAACAGGTTAAACACTTAAAAAATAAATTGTTGTAGTTAGCAATATATTTTTTATCTATTATATGATTATCACCATAAATTTTATTATAGATATACAGTAATAACGATAATTCTTGATGTTTTTAAAGATTTTTATTAACGAAGCTATTGATAAATGCACAATTACAATCGAATTAAGAAATAACACGAACGCAAAAAAGGCAAAAGAGTTTTTGATCGCTATAAATAAAAAAAATACAATAAAAAAGAGAATCCTGCATGTTTATTACCGGTTTTGTATAGTATATTTTTACGTTACATAGTTAACTGTGAAACCACAAATGGTCTTTTCTTTATACTAATTACTTTTTGCGGTAAATTTTCAAGGAAGATGAATAATGAACACAGTCAACAAAACAAATTAAAAGGAAGGGTTTCATAATACATTAACAAATAATAAATGTTAGATGTGATTATAATGAGGAACTTTTGTGTCCAAGAGTTAGAATTCTTAAAAAAAAACACACACACACTAAAGTGTTACTGTGATTAAGAATTTTAAATGAAACTGAAACTGTGATTTTCTATTCAAATATCAACAGATAAAAGCTCAATATCACTTTTATTGTTGTGCTAAAATTACTGTTAAGATAAAACTTGTGTACTGTACATCAGGGTGAAGATAATTGCGCGCTTAATAATAATAACCTACTTATTCTTCTGTGCGTCTTATTCTAATAATAATGATTGTTAGGCTGCTTGATTCTATGGATAAACTGTAATGATAAAATCCATCAATCACCCAACGATGATTTTAAGATGAACTTAGATGAATTCAGGAAGTGTCTTAATTTATTAAAACAAACGTCGCAAAGACCAAACGATTAATAATTCCTGTAACAAGAACATTTTGAATCTACCATGTCTGAGCAAACTACGAAAACAATAAAACTTAAAAATACGTCTTAGAAAACAATGGTGTTCCTTTAATGAGACGACAGACAGAATTTCTGCAAAGGGACAGTAATAATAATTGACGTGGCAACTGACATTTCCGTAAAATGAAGAAGCTAGATTATATTTTTACATAGCAATATTATTGATTTTTCAATGACTGCTTCTCTGTTTATCTAAACAAAGTTATTAGAAGGAAAGCGAAAAATTATTGTTTTAGTATTAAAAAAACAATGAAGCAAGCAAGACAAGACAGCATACATACAGTAGTAGCCACTAAAAGCATTTTGCCCTGAATGAATTTATAATGCTTTGCGGAAAATATAAATAGCACGCTATGAACATCCCGTTGTAAAAGAAGCTACCGCTTTTTATCGTTAAAAAAAAAGTATTACTTCATTTCAAATAAAGTAATAACACGTACACTTTTCCACATTCACATTACGGGTTTCTCTTTGGACTTCAAGCATTTTGAACATTCCAGCGTTTGAAACAATTCCTCTTTTTGACCACCCAGGACATTTTTCAATTTACTGTAAATCATGTAGGCTATCCGGATAGATCTTTTTCTCGGCTTCTTGTTTCATGTTTGCCAGGCATCACCTCTGGCAAACGCAGAGTTCTGCATTGTCCTCAGAAATGGGTCTGGGTGTGACACCCATTTTTTGGCATCACCTGAGGTCAACGTTCCTCTAAACCCAGCTCTAGAGCCAGCAGCAGCTTCAGTCCTAAGCATTGTTTGGTGTTTATGGCAGGACCTCGCAGTGCATTCTGACTCGGTGAATTTAGCATCTGATACTTAAAGTGTCAAAGAAGTGGAGGTTAAGCCACGAAGTACAAAATATTTGTTTACAAATAATGCCTTTGTTGGTCTTGTTGTTATTTTATAATGAAGACTAGATTAATGAAGCTATGTTTTGCTCATCAACATGATCTACTAAGTTATACCGCAGAAGGGGATCTGGCCATACACTTACTGAACTTACTGAACATTTTCTAATTAAACTATTTAGTTTGCAAATAAAGTAATCCATATCAGTAGAGAGTAGAAGGAGTGAACAAACTGAGGTTCAGTATCTTTGTTTAGTTCCAGTTCCTAAGCGTGACTACATTGTTGTTTTTAATCATCTTGGAAATTAAATACAGTAGATGATGCAAGATGCCTTTTTATAGATGAGAAATGACCCAACTTTTATAAATAATCGTTGGCTAAAATGAAAATACCCCAAGTGGACATTAGATCGGGGAAAGGTCTGAACTTGACTGCTTATCCTAGTGAGCTGTTTCCAAAACAAGTGCTGCCTTTGTTTCTGGAAATTACTGAGGGAACATCAGCAGGTGACCAGTATACAGTAAGAACTTCTAAACTTTACGAGAATATCTGAATATGTGTTTCCTCTGTGGACTGTACACATCAGCTACATTTAAGGTTAAATGCAGACTTTCACTTGATTGTAGAGGTTAGCAGCAAGATTTGAGGTACTGTGTAGTGAGGCTGGGTTAAATTTAGGGTTAGGATTAGAGACATTTTTCAAGCAGACAAATCAAGAACATCGAGAATGTCAGATATAGTGTTGTGTTTTGTATAGAGGGAATTAAGAATCATTTCTGAATTTCCAATCTGAATAGAAAGATAACAATATCAGCAACCACTATACTATGTTAATTGCAACTAATGAGGATCTGTGTTTGTCTACCTGAATTATTTGTGAATGTTTAGAGTTGGGTGTAAAATGAGGCACAAGTGTAGTGTCTCAAGTACTCTTGTTCTGCCTGTCACATAGAAGAAAGGTATAAAAACTCAAAGTGACGGAATATCCACTTGATCATTAAAAAAGCTGTATCATACCACCTAGACACTAGTCTAGTATCAGGTTTCCTCTGCAAGCTGAGCAGGCAGCCCAGGAGGAAACTGGTTAGGAAGGTACAGTAACTGTGAGACTAACAGCAACATAAAAAAGTTAAAGAGATCAATGGCTATAATTGGAGAAAATGTCCATTAGTCAAAAATATGGAGCTCGTAATTAAGCAAATGAAACATCTTTGGAAGGAGGTGTATATTTTGAATATGAACAATCCTGAGGATTGAACATTTGTTGGAGTATTTGCTTTACTATTCACATATTCACTCTACTTACAATATGTGGAACTCTACAATGGATGCTGAAAAAAAGGTCTGAAAATTAATTTCTTTAAGAAGGGATGTTTGTTTAATGTTCCTCTATTATTAAACTGTGAACCTTTCTTTATAATCGCAGCTAAAAATATGACATACATATTTATTGTTATTGTCTCAGCTTTCACATATCTGTGCGTTTGGTTTTGAAACAGTATATCTGATGTCGTGTGCTTGCCAAAATATATGTGGTGAGCTTTTATTTTTATAGCAGTGTGGGTTATAAATTTGGACAAATGCCATCCTATTGAAGGAGCGGATCTTTAAGTTTTCCAACTGTGACAGAGGAACCAAGCAGAAAGAAGATGTGCCCTTTATTCTCTTCAAAGTTGCTGATATGAAACCCAGATAAGTACACTGGACTTGACTGTGTGAACACCCAGGGTGAAAGAAAATGCATAAATGTATTAAAAACAAGAAAAGGACTTGGCTTGCATTTAGAAAAAAAAGTCTTTGTATTACCAGTCTTTACACTGATGAGGTAATAAAATTCCCATAACACTGGAGACTTTCCATTTTTTTTTCTCTCCATGATGGAAACTGTACCTCAATCAAGGGCAATTTAATGCTTTTTTTATTTTCTTATTGTCCACAGTTCACCCTTTATTCCATTACTTATAATAAATCTTTTTTATTATTTTTAATTTCTAAAAAGCTTTTATCTCAAAAGCACATTGCTATATGGCATTTATGGGCAACACATTGCACATTCTAAGAAAGTCTACTGGATTCTCTTACACTGGGTCTGTCAGAATTCCTAAATGATTATATTTCTGTTTTGAAGGTTTCTGGATCACAGACTTGTTTGGCTATTTTTTGCACTACATTTCTTTCTGTTGGAAAACAGATGACGCTGTTGGAGACAAAATAAAAAATGTGGGATGGATCACGGTGATAATTTAGGTTCCTTCTTTCACTGTGCTAATGAACTTTAAGCAAGTGCCGAAGAGAAAGTAATTTAGGAAAAATATACTGTGTGATTAAACAGATTGGGTTGGAATATGGTTTATCCAATAAACTTGCAATAATACAAAGTTGCTTTCAGAGTTTCTTGCTCCCACACTAAAAAGAAGAGGTAAGAAGGCTACAAAGTAAACTGTAAAGCTTATGACAAATAAGCAGTTTGTTCTATGCTAATTGTACAGAATAGTCAAAAAGATATTAGATTATATAGATTATATTTCTGTGTCTGTATTTAAGAAAACCCTAAAAATATACACTTACTGTTTTCAAAGCTAAATGAGCTTGTCAAATGTTTATATGATTAAAGAAACCATTATAATGT